AAGATATTTAAGAAATGTTTCAAATGTTGTCTACAACGCTTAACTGTATCATATATCACTTCACTGAAAATTGTATACTGCACTTTGTCTCGAGTTACTGGGAGCTCTCCAGTGGTTTTGAATGCTGCAGCCCAGAAGTTTATCTTTGTCAAATACTCTCAAAATAGTTCTGAAGTTGGCCTTTATTCTAGCAAATTGTCCAAGTTGTTGGAAAGTACAATAGTTTACATCATTTATCTCTGTTACAGTGGCACAGTATGTTACTCTGGAAAGGTGAAAGAACATAAAAGATGGGAGTTATTAGACGGTTGATCCCCATTTGTGCGGAAACATAGCTGGGAAAATAGATGCTAGAGAAACGCAATGGACCATTTGCATGGTAACACCGGTACTGAACCAATCAGGAGCACAGTTGTTCTCTCCAGGTTTTCAAAACTGAATTTTTGAAGTTAATACTTAAAATCCACGTCAGCCTTAGGGGATAGTCCAAGATAACAGTGGACATGGACTGACCTTGTGAAGGGGGCACCCTGTGTACCCAGCAGACTGGGCTCCGCATAGGGCTGAACATACATCTGAAAAGGCACGGTTGGGAAAAACCTATGCTCCACTTTATTTCTAGCTTAAATCCCTGAGGCAGTCTGGTCAGACAGACAAGCAATGAGACTACTTTAAAAATAAACATATTTGAAGCACTCTTGTGCAGATTCCCACTCCTGACAAACAAGCATATTTCTGACTGCCAGCTGCCAATGTTGCAGGCGTGTCTCTGTCACAGTCCATTCCCTCACACACTAGAGGTTATCAGATATCACAGCCTGCTTTTATAGAGGGAATGCTACAGCCTCCTTTCCTCTCATGAATATAGACAAGAATATTCTGAGAACAGGAAAGTATATGACTGGCAACAGAAGTGAGAAACCACCAAGGACTTCAGGAGATCAAAGAAAGGCAGGAAAAGGAAAATATTATTAGCAGGACAACTACTGCTTCAGTGATTTAGCATACTTATTTGAGGATATTGGTCTAGACATTTAGGTAAACTTTGCTGTACTCGTGGCGTTTGAGCTATGCTGATGTGAAAAGGATTGATTTAGTTTAGTACTTGTTTGGAAGCTCGTGTCTCATGTCATGGAAAAAAGTCGACAAAAAGGGTACCCATAGTTGTGCTGCTGTTGATACTTCTAGAACAATACAGATAGGCTGGAAATATGTAACATCTTTCACAGTCATTGCTGTGTAGTCAATATTTGAATAAGATAATGGCTGTGTAGTTGCATGGTACGTATATATGCTGGGATCTGAGACAAGATGAACAGAAGTTGCTGTTTGTGCTTTTGCATTTCAGATGGAGAAAGTATGGAGACACACGTAGTCCATTTTACAGGTATGCATATATTTGTCACTCTTAGCAGAACAGATTTGAAATCTCTAGGCCAGGCTGTAGTCCATATCATTAAGAGTAGGATAACTGCTCTTTAACCAGACAGTGAGCTTTTTGAGTGTACAGGGGCTAGATTTCTGCATGCCAACTTCCTAGAATGATTCCTCAAACCAGAACAGTGAATGCCAAGCCAAATTGGAACATAAATAAATAAAAAAAGTTCAACAGGTAGCTGAAATGGTTATTAATAATTTTGCAGAGTTTCTCTTGTCTTACTAAAAAAAATTATGTTTACGCTTCAAAACTGCATATAAAGCTGCTATAAGGAGTGACCCCCATGGAATAACAAATTTATATTTTATTAGTTAAGTAGTTGACATTCATGGTTATTACATTTCTCAGGGTTATTAAATATTCTCTTTGATTTGTCATGCTAATCTGCTGTGTTTTAATAACCTACAAAAGAGTTTTAGTTTTAATCATTCTGGCCTCAAGCAATATTCAAGATTTCCCAGCCTCTCCAGAGAGAATCTGAGGTTGTAGGGCTCTGTTCATTCTCTTTTGTTTTCTTTCTATTTCTTTGGGTCTTCATCTGTTCCTTCTTTTTACCCACTAGATGAACTCCAAGGGGCCTTTAATTAGCTAGATAAAAAAGAAAAGGCACTGCAGAGCTCAAATAAAACAGATGGGAGTGTATTTCTTCATGCAACTTGAACTGCAGGTTGCAGTGGCTTGTGCCTTGGCTTAAGAAAAATGCTAAGTGACTGTGATCCTCACCAGCAATTGAATAGCCTCGCCTTTTTTCCCCCTCAATATCTGATTAGAGAGAAGAATTTCCTCCCGGTGATTTCTCAGACATTCCTTCTCCAAGTTTTCCCATTTCTTAATGGTTTTCATCTTTCTCCTCAACATTTTACAGCCTAAGGAAGTTTCAGAAGGACAAATAAGTACCCTTTTTTTTCCCTTTGAAAGTCACTGGGAATTATAAAATTTTAGAAGTGCGGGTGTTATGTTTTAGACTCAAAGCAAGTTGCGTATTCCTACCTTATTACATAGTGTTCCTTGAATCATTCTGTTCAGTACAAAAATACTCTTTACTGGTTAAAAAGTAAAAAATTCAAGAAGTTGCCACTGTTTTGTTCTGTTCCATGTGGATATTTTACTGAAATCCTCAAAGTATCAAACAAGTTAAAAAATACTATTGGGTGTTGCAATGCTTTTTAAAATGCCATAGATTCAGCTGCTTGAATTTCAGTTACATTGCAGTAGTCTTCTGCTCCTCACAAATGAATGAAAATATACGGTTCACTGTGCTAATATTTCCAGTTCTGGGTATCAGTTTTCACATTTTACAGTCAGAACAAAAGGCTCTCAGTATAGCCCAGACTGTAATAATAACAAGCAAAATGGTAGAACATGGGTATAGTTTTAGTTATAGGATATAAACATAGCAAATATTTGCAGGGAGAGGTCATACTTTTTATTAGGGCACCAGATACAGGCCTTAAGCTTCTATTTTTTAATGTGAAGAATTTCTGTGATCAAATCTTGCCATTTTTACGATGTCAAGATAAAACATAAAACATGAGTCCTCATACTTCAGGGAACATCTCAAAATGCATGCTCAAGCAACACAACAAACATTGCAAACAATGCCAATTTGGTATGAAATAAACCATGTTTCTATTGAGAGAATCCTCTCAATTTTAACTTATTTCCTTACCCAACTGTTAATTATGAAGTAAACTTTTCCTCCAACTACATCCTCTGTGAAGAGTAGTTTTGGTCAAATTCACTCTATAGAAAAATCCAAATTGTTTCAACAAGCTGTGTTTATTTTCTTGAAGAGTTTGACTCACAAAGTCTTTCAGAGAACGTAGCAAGGGAATTGGCTTGTAATTAAAGAGTAAAACTACAAGCACCTTTCACAATACCCATAACCTTTTTACCCTAAGATTTCTGAAAACTTAGTAATAAACAAAATTACTGCAGAAAACTACAAAATAACTGCCTTTAGTTATTTGGTCTCCAGAATATTCTGTTCTGGATGTCTAGTTACAGTCGGGGAATGCTCAGGGTTGAAAGGAAAAGGGTCTTAATAAATATAGGTGTGTAGCTGAGCTTGTCTTTTCTCTTCTTCCCTTACAGGAATCATCCAAGAATATTTCTACACCAAAGACTGTGCAATAACTGCACCTTATATAGTTTCAATTCAGTTCAGGTATCAGCAAAAGGTGGAGATGAATATCTGCTTTCTTGAGTGCTTAAGTCTATGGCTTTTCCTTGGCATCTCAATGCTCGAGCTGCCCTGCCCGTACTACCCGGCATGGCTACCTGGAGGCTCAGAGCGGGTGCTCAGGGGCTCCACTTCCCATGGAAACTGAAATAATGAACTGCCTTAAATTCTAGCGGCTGCCAAAGAGGTGTAAAGCACTCCTCTATACTTTTGTGCTAATTAGAATCTAAAAATGTGCCACTCCATAAGAAACAGATTCAGTATATTAAATACCGTATGCTTCAAACAACACAATCAGCTAAAACAGAGATTTTTGTGTTCAATCTCCTGAAAAGTTCTGTGCAAAATGAAATTCTGTAATACCTATTGTCTTAATTTTCAGCTCATAACAGCAATAACAATCACAATGTGTGGTGTTTCCTGGGAATTCATTACCAGCTGGAGTCCCTTCAGTGAGATGCAAAGCAGTTTCATTTTACTGTGACCATCAGATCTTAACAGCAGCTCAGTGAGTATATAATTTTCATTTGTAACTCTACATTTTCTGCCATGTGTTTTCAAAAACAAGTTTCTCCCAAGGACTTTGAATTTCAATTGCAAATAAAATGTTGACAATGCTTTTGGATATATACGTTGTAACACTTATCAGCGAGACATTAGATGGGCCATTTCCCAGCAATAACAACGTCATAACAGCTTAGCAGGATTTTTTTGCTATCTACAGGCTAGATTATCTTTATTTTAAATTGATAAAAAGGACCAGGTGGCTGTTTATAAGGGCAAGAAATGAATTACAAGCATATGTTTCCAAGGCAATGTTGGCCAGTGGCTGTTCAAGCATAAATTGCTTCCTATTACCACTTTTGATAGGGGAGACACAGTACAGTTCATCTCCATGGGAACACAATATGGCAGAAGCCCTCTATGTTTAGTCTTTGCACTATTTCCGATAAAAAAAAAGGCAATATTTATTCCATCGTGACATTACTAGTTGATATTGTTGTGGATAATTTTGTTGTGTTGTTGACCAAGGATTAGTAATCATCTCCCATACTGTTACATGGTATTCCCATAGAGGGCTACATGCTTAGCATGGAAGATACAAGGAGGACTTACAGAGTCAGTAATATGGCCTACAGGATAGAAAAGTGAATTAATACTTTGGAAAAGAACTGTGTTTCCTCAAAGACCCCAGGGATAACATCTCTCTAAACTTTAGTTTCTCTAGCTGTGAAACAGGTAAGACACAGGTGAACTGGAAATCATTATTAGGTTGTGAAGTTAGAATGAGGTTATTTCTGGGTTACTCTTTGTTTCTAAAAGGATAAAGCAGAAGCTGATTTATCATATGGTTAAATTTGTACTAAACCTGAAGGGAGAATTTGGGAAGGGAGAAGGGGAAAGTACTTGTCCTGCCTGAAGGAAGGAACAAGGCTGTGTCTAAAAATCTGCCACGTTATGTCAAAGTAGGAGCTGCTTGATGCCTTTGTTTTAATGTGCTCTGGCTGAATTTCCCTCATTTTTTTTCAAGGCATAGAAATAATGGTTCAGTCAAAATGACTTGTCTAGTAACTTGCCTTTTCACATAATCCAAGAGGCTGCTTTGCTGATGTCCTGTAGTATGCTGACAATGACTCTGTAGTTTAAATCAGTTGCTTCAAGTATATGAGAGAAGGAATCAGATATAATCTGAAAAGAAAGGGCAAGTATTTCTTCCATTAATGTAGTTTTAAGTTAATAAGTTTTTTGAAGGAAAGAATCATGCCTGGTTTTTTTAACAAAAGTTCTGAAAAACCTGGTCACCCCTTTTCTTGATAGTATAGTTTGAATTTGCCTTTCCGAGAATGGAAAATAGGTTGAAGGGAATGCGAGTTTTTTAAATTGAAATGCTTGAAGGCTATTTTTTCCTTTATTTATCTTAAACTTACATTTTCTGTACTTTGTAAGAACAATGCTATGCAAGGGCCATTCAGTACAGTCTGGTGGAGCCAGCTCTTTAACATCCACTACTCCTAGGTCTGTTGCCATCTCTGCTGTCCTCTCTTTAGGAACCTCATCATCTATATTCAGCATTCCTCTTCCTCTCCATCCACATGCTTATACCTAAACCTAGAAATCTCTGCCCTGGGATCCATTTCCCCAAATAACGGTGCGTTATGAAGCTGATAGCATGTCACTAATACTGTGTTGGTTCACAAGTATCAATGTGTTTCATCAGCAATTACATTCTTCCTGTAAGGTGCTTACCCTCAAGTTAAAAGTGGCATAAGTCTAGAGTACACACAGCAGTAATACAAATTTTAAGACCCATCCACAGCGGAACTTGTATTCCTTCAGAATTAGCAGTGTAATAAGGTACCATACTCTCTACATTTTTCATCCTATTTCTGCATTAATACGCTGTAAACAAGCATAAAAATTATTTTGTTAGCATTTCTTGTTTTCCAAAGGCAGGGAAACTGTTGACCTTACCATAGTTATTGTTTGGATTTTTGTCAATAAAATTAAACCACGGGTGAGGAGGAGGCAGAACTTTACCCATTGGATCATTTCATTACTTAGTGGATGACATATGTTTAGTTCCCTATATTTCTTCTGATGGGTGAAGCTGATGCCAATGAGTCTTCTTAGAACTGACTATAGGCACCTAAGTCTGCATGGTTTTAAGACTGTAGCAGCAGAGCAAACAGATTACAGTGGAAACTACCCAAATATAAAAAATGAATGTTGATTTGAACAAGGTAAAGATGGAGAATTGACCACACCTGCTTACCACACAGATGCTGTGCCAAGAACAAACTCAGAGAGCTAGTATCGGGAACTTGCAGCACAGTGACACATTTAAGATTAATGTCTCACAGACTGCTAAAATAAACTAGTGTGGCTGTACAGCACTTCATTTTACATAAAAGTGTGCAGCATAGTTTTATGCAGATAGGGCTATGATAAGGGGGTTAGTAATCAGCTCAGTTCAAAATAGTGTGCTGAGCAAAATCGAGAGTTCACCTTGTTTTCTGAAAATTAGAGGTTTGACAGCTACCTAAAATTGGTTCTGGTTTTGAAACCACCTTGGCAGTTATTAGTTTTCAGATTACTTTTCTGAGGGCAGTGTGCACAGCTGCTATATAAAGAACCAGTCTTTCTGGGTACACGCCACCTCTGAAGAGAAGATTGATTTAGTTTCCATGTTCTCCTTTGCTAATACTTGAGCAGATCAGTGTGAGGTTTGGGTTTAATTCACTGGTATTAACCAGACAGCATATTTAATGCATTAGGGGACATGAGAATGAATCTTATTGCTCTACTTAACAGAAAAAAGGATGCAGTATCTGGGGCCCACTGAAACCATTAGGGTTCCCTGGCTGGGTTTTGTGGGTGTTACCCAGCTAAAGATCTTCAGTCATTACCACACGAGTTTACCTGTAAATTTCAGAATACCAAGCCTTTACAGGGGTGCCAGGTTGCAGAAAAAAAATATTTACTTACTTCCTTCCTTATTCCAGTATATTTGTTTTCCCTGATTCTCTGCCACATAACTAAGGAAAGTAAATCTAATGACTAAGTAATCTCTCATGGTGGATTATGTTTTAGATTTCTTATCAGCTTGCATTGTGAAAGTATAATCTGATTCATGGCAGAAGAACCGTTAGCAAATATATGCTGCTTTTAAAGTTTTGGTAAAAGATAAAAATTTATAATTTTTTTCTCCATCTTAAATCATGTTTCACTCATGTCACTGTTTTCTGAATGGACAGAGTGTGTAACTTGTGGGGCTTTACTGACTTCCCTGATTAATGTTTCCAATTCTTTCTTTCATTCTCTGTCTCTTTTTTTTTTTTAACGATAAATTGTGTTAGGTGGAAGAAATCATACAAATCTGCAAAGAGTTATCACATTGTTCATGCATTAAAGATGCGCGTGTATGCTTGTGGAGGATGTATATGGGCAGTGATATCACAGAACAGTATTAACCATTACAACTGTAGCAGAGTTGCATAGAAACTGGATCTATCTGAGATTGTGCTCTGGTAAGTTAGATTCCTAAGAACTTTGTCACCTAATAATTTAAAATATTACTTCCCAAAATCTGGATCCATTAAGTTCCATCTTATCTTGCAACTGCAGAAATTTTTTAGAGCTGTCAGTACCTCAGAGTTCTGCTGCCATTCAGAAATAGAATTACCCATGCCTTGATTGTGCTGAATTGCCTGCTGTTTGTGCTATTCCCAAACTGCAGCAGGATTCAGAAACTAGGTATTTTACCTCCTGGGTACCATTTAATCCACATTTTATATGCATAACACCAGTTCTTTTCATCTACATCATTTGGACTACAGAAGGAAAGAGTTTCAATGGGTAGGATTAGACATCTTGTAAAATGACCAGCCTCCATTCAAAGCTTTGCTGCATATCAGGTAGAGGAAGGACTCAAAGACAGATTATTTATAACATACATTTGTGAGTGTTAAATCATCATTTGCTAAAAAGGACACTGATATCTCTTCAGTTTGCCTTTTTCTTTTTTTTTTCTTTTTTTTTTGAGAAGGAGGACAAACCATGCAGAGCACTTTTAACTGCAGGACAAGGCTCACAGTTCTGAATGGAAGTGGATTTAAGTGACTAAGTTAATTATAAAGGGGATCTTAAACATATTTCCTGCTTTGTTATTTTTAATTACCTAGGTCAGCCGGTTGATATTAGACATCTCTATTTGTTGAACAAGGAGCCAGAAGAATTTTGGCTTGCAGCTGTGAATTCTGCTGGGTAGAAAGACACTATAGTTAGGGATCATAGTTTTAGTAAAATGCAAATGAAAAGTAGAAACTGCTCTATCCTTAAGAGACCACAGTGTAAGTTGGCAAAATAGACAAAAGTTGTGAAGCAGAGCTATTTCTATCCTAAAGGTGAGGGACTGATGTGTAGGCTTGCTGAGGTTCATAAAACAAACCTCAGCTAGGATCAATCACAAATGTCCTTACAGTAGAAGACATCAGAACCAGAAGGAAGTTATTCACAAGATCCCAATCTTTATTGCTGGGCAACCAGAGGATCAAAGCCTCAGGTTTCTTTTTCACTTGAAAATGTTGTTTGTTTGAGGACTTTGTGCATATATATATATTTTTCCAGGATCCTCTGACCAACTGAAGATCATCTGTACTCTACATGCAGAAGAGTCCGGATGCTCACACAAACGTTGAGCATACACATAGCTAGAAAATTATATTAAAGTAAGGTAAATACATCAGATACCAGGATGGGAAGCAAAGTTTAGAATTCTGATTATCAGGTCAGATTCTATCTGGAAGGTAATGTGCTTCCCTAATTAACAAGAGCACCTTCCTGGCCATTTTTGCTTTTTTAGAAAAAGAAAAAAATGTTACTTAGAATTATTACTTAGAATCACCAAAAGTTTCTTTACACTTTTATATGTTTTGTAAATGTCTACAAATCTGGAGTTATCTGTTAGTTTTAGATCATTTTTTTTCTCCAACTTTGGCTTTTTGTTTTTATAAAACAAAAAGAAATTTCTCAACCCTTAAAATTGTTCTCAGTATTTGCGTAACACGTGTGCAAGCAAAACTGAAAAGGCTCATTCATACCCTCATTATCCAGTCTCCACTTCAGCAGTGTCATATAGCAAACACAACACTATATAAAGAAGACTTGTGTGAACAACTCTTCATTTCACTTTGAAGCAGAAGGGTAAGTTGAATTTCATTTTAATAAATCTCAAAGAACTTCAGCTAGAAGGCAAACCTGTTCCTGTTCATTTCTGTGGTCATATTTACATTTTTAAATTGAATTTTCCTTTATTAGTATTTTTTTTACTTTGCTTATACTAGCAATTTTAGTAGATGAGGAGATGCCTGAAGGACACCAGATTGTAATGACTGATGAAGGTCATTAAAACTGGATGAAAAATGAAGAGCTGCTTTTTCCATTTTACTCTAACTGATCAGGACTCTGACTCTGCATCATGATCCAATTATGAGCTGCATGCACTAGTCCATTCAAATGTAATTCCCTGAATGATCACCACCAGATGAAGAGTAACTGCTGTAATTGTATTTTGTTATCTCAGAGATGTAAGTATTCCTAGCCACCTAAGGTAGGTTTGTGTTAGAGACTTTAATAATCTGCTCTCTGACTCATTGGCCAGCATTGTCAGAGGTGTCTGCTAGCCTTCAGTATAGTGAAGGGTAAACAGCCTAGGACACTTCAGATTCAACACACCAAATTCAACACCACTTTTAATACAGCACATGTGTTCTCTGGTGGCGTGGAAATTCTTGACCATGAGGAATAGACACTGCTATTACTTAAACAGATCCTATATACTTCAAAATACTGAAATTTATGACGTAATTCAGTAATCTTATGTTCAAGGGTATGTCCCACCGAATTTATTTTGATGAGACATTCCTCTAGAAAAACAAGTGAACTTTGCCCTTTAAAAGAGTTGGTGTTGATGCAGACTTAGAATAATGTCAAAAGCCTTCTACAACAGAGTCAGTCTAGAAGATGTAAACAATACTCTTTTTTTTAAAAAAAAGCTCATTCCAGTTTTAGTGTATCCATTTAATAAATGATATCAATATTAAACTGATATTTTGATTCTGCTTGGCATATATGCTTTGAAACAAATAGCTTGTTTTAACTGATGAACCCAGGTGTTACTAACCTTGCAGCATTAAAGCCAACCAAGATTTTATTCTCAACTTTAAGCGGAGCTGGATTTAGAACATATTATGTGTTAGTTAAAGTGATCTTGTCAATTCTGATTATTTTTTTTAAGGATGGAAATTTTTAGGAGAGTGTAGTACATGATCCTCTCTAATTCATGGTGAAAGAAAAGTGAAGTCATGTGCATTAAGTTATGTGTTTCGCATGAGAGTCAACCCATCAGGGTCCTCTCATTAGAAAGGGATACCCATTCTGGCATCTTGAACCTTTGTTTATCTCTCTCATTATTGCAACTGAATGATGCCAATAAGTGGATATCTCCATCTTGTAGTGGCTTATAGTCCATCAGTTCAGGTTTTATAACCACACAGCATTACTAATGCTGCACATCCACTAGCTGCATTTTAAACCCATGAGCTGTAGTTTCAGAGTGCTTTATAAGTCATGATATCTCAGCACTGAGATTCTAACCCTACTTAATATTATATCTGGAAAGGATAAAGTAAGATGAATAGGCCTATTGTCAACCAGCAAAAATGCATTTTCTACAAGACTAACTCTGACATTTTCAAGCTCGTGGAATTTTGTTCAAAACAAGATAGGAATGTCAATTGAGCTATAAAATTTTGCCCATGTGTAAAACACACTATCAGTTCTCATATTTCAAAAAATGTGCTTAAATAAGTACCATGCTTAAAGAGATTACTAACTAGCTCCAAACCACCACCACAACCACTGTAACAGATTGTGTCTTTCAGGTTGGTAGCATATGTATCTATGTTTCATTGAGTGATTATAGCCCTTACAGACAACTAATGGCTTAAGCGTGATAAGTTACATCTGATCCCATCATTTCTCAAGGATTAATCCAACAACTAGTCAGTGATAGCAAAAAGGTTGATTTGTATTCGCTACTCCTAAACGTATAGCTGTCATTCTGTAATGAGTGTGCCAATCTATGTCAGTCTAGAAACAGTTTTTTGTATAAGCTATGCAATGGTAGAAAAACAGATCTGGAGAATCTCTTATACGTATAGACTTTATTTAAACAAGGAAAGAATGCAAATTTCAAGAAGGGACAAATGGGGGGGGAGAGGGGAAATGTTCAATTATATAAACCACTGCCTACAATTTCTTACAGATTCATTGCCTGACAAATATGTGGGTTTTCTTACAGCTGACTTGAGCAATCATGTTGTCTTACTCCTCCTACATGCTCACAGCAGTAACTGTCTTGCTAGTGACTTGCCATGCACTCTGTAAATGTCCAGGAGTTCCTGGCCTATTGGATATCCCTGGACTGTCTGGAAGAGATGGTTTGAAAAGACAGCCACATCTACTAGGTAAGTAAACTTCCCTTTTTTGCAATAAATCCTTGTCATGAAGACTACATGAATAAAAACAGTTAACACAGAAGGACACGTGCTGTCAAGGAAGCATCTGTGTTAAACAGAGGAGAGAAAACTGAATAGAGGAAATGGTCTATTTAAATTTTTTTTCTAAAAGATAAGCCTCCTCTCTCTGCTCAAACAAAGAGGGAAAATTAACACTTTAACAATGCTTAAATATATGTATTTCTATGTATTATATTTATAGAAATATATATATCTGTAGGGCTTTCCCATTGACCTTGCAAAGGGAGTTGCTTCTTTCACAACAGAAGCTTTTTATTGCTTTTTTTCTAAATATGAAGAAAATGTTATTCTGGTATTTGCAAGTGTAATTAGAAGGCTTCTGGCACATTTCTCTAGTATTCAAAGATGGTAGTTGCAAAACACCCCAGTTCACACTGTGTAAAAATTTCTTTCTGTGTAGAAATGCTTTCTCTAGGTCCATTATCAAAATTATTCATGTATGTTGCACATTTCAGTTTGAGATTAGGTTCTGTTTTACCCTGAAGCTTCCAGAATACGCATCCACTGGAAAGAAACGATGATTCTCTTTTCCAGGTCCCTTAGGAGCCCTTGAAAGATGTAGTCTTGCTTGGCCACTAGGTGAGAAAAGAGAAAAAGGGGATATTGGACCACCCTGTGATAAAGGCTGATGTCCATGTAATGTTCTGTCAGTCACATGGACTCTCTTTATTAGGTCAAATATCTTGTTTATTACTGGCTGTGAAATGCAGTAAGAGGAGTTGCACCATTGCAACTTAGAGAGAGGGAGATGCAGCAGTATTTTGTGCTGCTGCTTTGCCATTTGTTTTAGTTGTGAATAATGGGAGCACACTAGTACCATTCTTACCCATGGAAATTTGTACGAAAATAAGTAACTAGCTTTACAGTGAGTTCCCGTCTTTAGCAAGCAGTGATGGATGGACTGTATTTCACACAATCTGTGCAAGACCCCTCCTATACCAATGTTTATTGTTTCCGTTAAAATAAGATCACACTGTAAAAACCCAAAACATCTGCCCAGCAGATTAAAAGAAAATAGTTCCCACCCCAAAATCTCCCTTGTTCACTAATGATTATTAGACTGAAACAAATTCTCTTTGGAAAAGCCACTTTCACAGACATGATAAACAAAATGCTTCAATCTAGAAAAATTAATTTTCTCCTGTACAGAAGGGAATGATCAGCATTTCAGATGGTTGGAGATTTTTGTTCATTTGCTTTAATACAGGTTAAAAACAGTATGAAAAAATATTGGGAAAATATTTATTTTAAACCAGGTGATAAAAAAAATAGACCGTGTGCTAGCCAGTTCCAGAAAATTATTCCTTTTATCCAAGGAATTGTTCCTAACAGCAGAGCCTAGTTTTGCTTTTGTATAACTTCTCTTTTTCTCTGTATAGGTCTACCTGGTTCTCTGTACATTGAACTCTGCAATGTTTTAGTAGAATTGAAACATCGAATTTCCAGACTTGAAGGCGGTAATTTTTCCTATTTTTACGTTTTCAGCTCAATCACTTTTAAGTGCAATAGACAAAATTACTTATAGAATCATGACCTGCAGGAAAGAAATCACACTTGGAAATGGTACTACATCCCAAAACTCCGTTTTCTCATCCAAAGCAGGGGAGATCAGGACTCATTTTCCCTGAAGAAACAGATTTCTCTCAGGAACATGAATGCACATTTATTCAAATTTGATTTATTAAAAAAATTATTCCAGCTGATGTTACACTTTCCACATGGATTCATGGGAAGTCCACAGCCTTGTACCACACTGCTAGCATTTTTATCTATCATCAGCACCCAGATTGTTAAAGGTGGTAAATTGTTTTGTACTGAGAAAGGAAATCACAAAAACTATCATTTCTGTTTCACATGTTCAAATTTGAAGCAAATTGATTCTCTTTAGAGAGTACACACAATATAAAAGTGCTGATAGTGTGTGTATCAAAAGTTAGTAGGGCATCCTTGTCTTGGAGAAGACAATGACAGATGGTCACAAGCAGCATAACCCTACACTTAGTCAACAACTAGTGAATTGGTAAAATTTTAAAGATCTTTATTCCTCTTCATGCTTCATTCTCATTCTTGCTCTCTATTCCTCTTACCACTTCCAATTTTTTATTCATCTCTTTGTTTCTCTTTCTGTGCTTTCTCATCAATATGCCATAGGAAATGTAAAAAGTTAACTGTTTTTTTTCTTCTCATGTTTTAGTGCTTACTTTGGATGGAAAAATAATAGAAGTAGGAGAGAAAATACTTACCAGCAATGGGAAGGAAGTTGATTTTGCATCCGCACTAGAATCCTGTGAAGAGGCTGGAGGAACTCTTGCAACTCCCACAAATGAGGAGGAGAATAAAGCTATTTTGGGTATTGTGAAACGGTATAACAGATTTGCTTACTTGGGCATTAAAGAGGGTGAGATTTCGGGCCAATTTACATATATGAATGGCATGCCTCTGAATTATACCAAGTGGCACACACATGAGCCTAATGGCAAAGGGACAGAAAAATGTGTAGAGATGTACACTGATGGGAGCTGGAATGACAAAAAATGCAACCAGAATCGCCTCACAATCTGTGAATTTTAAAGAATGGTCTTTCAGCCACCTCAGTGTATGGAGACAATGAAATATCCTATGTCTCACATTTATGCAACTTCTGTGATGATTCAATGTTGTAAAATCTAAAATTAATCATATTATAGAAATTTTTTTCATTAAGAAAATGCCAAATGTGGTAGGTGATTAACTTAATTAAAATGTGTCTAATCTGCTGTGTTTGTTTCTTTTGGAGGGTTAGGAATAGCTCAGCATTCATTTTTCATGGCAGACTCTCTGTGCACTGTACCTTTGTGAAGATTAGAGAAAAATTCCAAGCTTTAACTTGGCATATTGGAAAAGCGTCAAGTTAAAATTGCCTGTGGCTTTGTAGTGGAAGCATTTTCAAGTATATAATAGTTTCCATCTTAAAAGAAATGCGCAGAGGTTGACTTCACTGGAAAAATGATGATCTCAGGTTTTGTATGTTTCTGATTTATAGGGCTTGTATTCTGTCACATTGAAGCATGCACTGAATCATTCAGCACCTCTAATTTTTTATAAAACAAAATATTAACAGTACCAGTTACAATTAACTTAGTTTCAGAAGCGACTCTCTACAAGACACAAAGATAAATTGCACTAGATACATGTAGACGTAGAAATATGTGTATAAAATACTAAAGATTGACTTTTTTTGCTCAAACATCACCTTCCCTCATGAAACCATGACCATTGCAGTGATACAAGGCAACCTGTCTTCTCCCAAACCACTGTACCACCACATACTATTTTGGGGCAGCAGGCAAGATTGGAAGTTCATTCAGTTCAAGCACAAACTATTACTCTGCTAATATCATACCAAGCAATCACAGAGTCAGACCATGACTCCAATCCACTAGGATCAGGAAGCATCTTTGCACAAAATATTTTCACCACTACTTAGTTTGGGTAGCTGGTGTGTAATGGGAGCTCAGTAAAATACCACAAGTAGCAAATTCTCACACACTTACCTTGTAGTGAGGAAATCCCAGGCTCATCCCACTGCCATTTTCATACCACCTGAGGGGGAAGAAAAAAAAAGGAAACACTGGAGTTAAAATACACGCATAAGCACTTTTCTTTTACTTCATCTCCTCCTCTACCCCCACATCTGTCTCTGTGCAGGAGGCCCATAGGAACCTGGGTTTGACTCTGGGCAGTGTTGTTCCTTGTCCCTAGCCTGAACCGAGGAAGGGATGGGATCTATTCACATAGTTATTCAAGCCCTGTCAAGTAGGAAAGTTTTAGCAGGAGATAAGGGGCTACTTGCAGCAAAGGATTCATGTCCAGCTTTGCATACAGCACTCCAGTTGATCTGAGAGTGGGCAGGGACTTTGAAATAGAAAAAGTACACCTGGTACCACGTTGGATGGATTTCAAAGTGTGAACCTGTTTTACCAAATAGCTTCCTTTAAGACCTATGACTGTGATAACATTTTGGCCAAAGATTTCATGTGGGAAGGGAAGAGATCATGCCATGACAAAAATTTTGACTTTCAGGTTGCTTTGAGAAAAGATAAGGCTAAACTAGTACCTTTTCATTTTCTTCGGCTCAGCTCTTAGAAGCAGCAATAAAGTTGCTAGGAAGAGTTGTAAGTTTACTTCAACTCTTGACAGTTTACAACCTCTACCTCTTGCATATTAATTACTAGTACTTCAATGAGTAAACCTTGTTAGCAATTTTTGAGTCTTTCAACTGTACAGATTCTTTGTTAGAGCAAGATGATTACCTGGCATAAGAAGGCATCATGTTGGAGAAGGACACATACACACAAAAATCACTCTACTAACATGATCTTTTGCTATCTGAACCAAACTCACATTCATTTACATAGATCTCCAACTAGGTTTGGAGTAAGCTATTCCTTTAGTTAATCAACAGTTAATTTCCATCTGTGTTTACAAAATGGCTATACAAATCTCTTGCTAAAATCCTTAATGTATAAAATGTTATGAATGGCTTAACACAATATATCACCTGTCTCTAAATAGATTTAGACTTCAAAACTTCTTTTTTTTATACAGTTAGGAAAAGTAACATTATGTTTTCAGTCAAAAGCTAATTTTTAATACATCAGTAAGCAAAACATCTAGGCTAGGACTCAGACTCAAGTTTATTTCTGCTTAAGCCATTACTAGTGGAAAAAAAAAGAAACCAAACCAAAACACTAATCAAGCACACACATGCTGCTTAAAAATAAAAACTTCTCAGATCCAGTCAAAGAACTGCTAGGCAGCACTTTCCCCTCTATGGTTCACACTGACATCTGTAGCATTTCACATAATTGAACGAAACTCCTCAGTTATTTTCGTAAAATATCTCCATATATTATACTTAACTCTTGCTATGCCCTAGCCTTCCCCTTACACCATTCTAAAGCAGCCCTCCTTGTCCTGCGGCCACAGTCTCGACCGCCTCATATACAAAACTGAAGATATGAAGGGGATATCTGCCAGTTTCCTGCCTTCTTTATAAAAAAAATACAAAACTGCGTCCATGTTCTTTAACATGGACTTTTATCTCCTAACTGATGAATTTCAGAGAAAAAAACAAGTCCAGTGTCAACCGTCATATGTGGAAGAAATAAAATTCCCTAGTAAAATCAATATTCTACAGTCAGGCTTGGAATGTGTTTGTATCTTATGGAATTAATATGTGGTAATTAAAATCCTAGTGAAGGTACATATTCAGTAGAATGTTACTTGATTATTCTTTCTGGTTCCACAGGAAAAAAAAAGTATCCAGAAATCATTATTTTGTTCTTTTGATGGCTTTTCTTGTATTTGTATAACCCCATCAATTTAAACCCTCAAACAATTTTAAAAACAGTTATAAGTGTTTCGGTCTATTTTTTTGTGAAATCTCTAAATTCTGCAGTTATATATTAATGGATTTTTTTTTTTTTTTTTTTTACATGGACAGAGAGGTTAGGCTCAAGAAGAAACAGAATAAAGTGTTTCTCTGTTCTGTTGTTGTAGGATAAATAATTTTGATAAAGTCTTTCCTTAAGAATACAATGAGCAAAACCAATCCCTGGTGCATAATGATCAGACCAGGAAAAATCCATGTTAGTCTTTTTTTCATAATTTATAATCATTTGCTATAGAAAAACAACATAGCAGTAAGAACTTTAATTCAGTAAATAACTTATTTGCTTCTCAAACATTATAAAAGCAGAATTTGAGACTTAAGATCTTAGTACAAGTTAAAAGGTCACAAAAATTCAGTCCTTTCTGAAGCAAATGGATTGCATATCACATAAGAGAAATTTAATACAATTGTTATTACAGTATATTTAACAGTGAAAGTTTTGTCTGGCCATAAAAATTATGGATATTGATTTCAGAAAGAATTCTCTCTGGTCTAGAGTGATATTCTCTTTTATGAACAACTGTATAATTTAATTAGGTGTTTTAGCTTAGAAATATTATTAGCAATTTTGAGCGCTCAAAAACCTCTCTTCTGCTCCCATCAATCCCTTCCACATATAAAGAAATTGACCTTCAATTACAGCAAGTAAGTATTTTTCTGCAGCTTCCTGATTTTTGTAGAAATTTGATTAAAAAACCCAAGGCTCATGGTTCTTGGGAACATTAAGTTCAAATTCAACCTTATGTGAATATAGTAACTGGCAGGATGTGACACAAGCTGGCAGGGCTACCTTACCTTGTACACGTTGTGACCAGTGTATCTCCTTTATTTATTTATTTATTATTTTTTGAAACCAAATTTAAAGAATAATAATTACTTTATTCCTCTGTTCTTTTCTACAGAAAAGAAAATATATGGTGGAAAAATACCAGTACTTGCTGCTGCGACATCCTAGCAGTTCTGCAAACACAAAGTAGGGTGAAGGTTTTTCATACATTTTACTCTTATTTTCAGATTTTCTTTAGAAGAACACTAAGAGTAAATAAGACAAGAAATATTTGCCACCAGGAAATTTGTTAGCTGGTTTTGAAACCATGCTGAGAAGTGGTAGAAATACTAATGGCCTTATTACAACTCTTATGAACCAGAGGAAAACAATTTTCTTAGGAGTATTGTTTAATGGTATAGTGGACATCTTTGTCTGGACCTCAGAGTGTCAGATTGCACATGATTTTCATTACCAGAAGTTGAAACATATTGTTACAAAATCATATTAACCTACAGTTATACAAACACACCTGGGTTTAAAGCACAATCAGAACAGGATGCATGGCTGTTAAGAGTAGCACCTTTAAAAATAATAAGGGGACTCGGATCTGGTTTGAAGTGCCTGTTAGGAAACCAGGGTTTGGCAGGATTTGGCTCAAGGGTGATAAGCCAGGTGAAACCTGGAATTAAACTTTCACCCAACTCTGCCCTTGTGGCTTGGGAGACAAAAGGAGCCGTACAGCAAGGCTACCTTAACCCTTGAGGAGGTTGAAGCAATGGTAATTATGGTAGTAAAGACTATAATAAGCAATTTAACCTTCTTCTGCAGATAATGGAGGACAACTGCAGAATAGATGGAACAGTAGTTTCATCTGGTTCATAAACATGAGGGTTTTTTCCTCTCCCCCATTAGAATGCTGTTTTGCTATTAACAGCTAAAGAGATGAGATATTGTTCTTGTTTTCTGTTTGTTGTAAACACAAAACTATTTCTTTCTGTATTTTTCAGATGAGCTGCACCAAGTGAAATATCAGACATCTAGTGACCTCCACTTGGATCCTTCACACATAACTTCAATCAGTGGGGCAAAGTAGCAGTAGCATTTACACTGATCACACTGTCTACAGGTGAAATTAAGACTTTCTGTGCCAAAATGCTGCTCATATTTTTTTTTTTTTTAAAAAAAAAGCCCTATTGAAGTTTGCCATCCCAGGTATTCTTACTGAATTCTTTGCTTCCTGTTTTTAAATCTCAGCAAACATAGCCTAGGCCCTCCCCTGAGAAGGAGAGACACTAGGTCCTGTGTGCTCTTGTGCTCTTCCTGATATTCCCAGGCATAAGGGAGCTGCTGAGGACAGTCTGACAATGATTTGGAAAAGAAAAAGAAATACAGAAAGCACCAGACAAGGAGGTAACAAGGTAGGATGGAAACAATAGCAGACCTGCACAAAATCAATGTAACCAGAAAATATAAGTGGGGTTGGGCCCATTTAAATACAGAGAATAAGAAAAGAATTTTCAACATTATCTGGGGTGTGACTAGCACTAAGAAGGGGAAAAAAAACCAAAACAACCCAACAAAAAAACAAACCCAAACTAAACAATGAACCAACAACTTTCAGGAGGTTACATATACAAATAAAAGGCTAGCAGGCTTATGGAAGGAATACACACCCGCTTTCATAAACTGAAATTCAACTCTAGTGTATATATTTCTTTAAGCATCTAAAAAAGCAGCGTTGACCAACTTTTGTCATTAGCATGTTTTGCATTTACCTACTTTGTGCAACATAACCTATTCTCAAAATACCCTTCATTTGCTTCACTAGCACTGAAATTCCAAAACCTCTTCATGATAGGTGTGGAAACACAGAAGAAAAGTTGCTTCACTACTCAAAAATCGTTTGTTCTTTATCAATCATATCTCTATCCTTCAATCTTGCTGAGCTTCTGTTATATGCAGCTCAAAGCAGGATCAGAAAAGAGTTTACAAGTTATGATTGTTATATAGAATATTTTATTAGGCAATCATAAACAAGCATAGTAGAAATGCAAATATTTTTAAATTTCTATTTTAGCTTGCTCTATCTTATCAACATGCTGATGAAAATCAAGAGAAGAAAACTTTAGAATTTATCAAATCTGCATCAGTTCTTGTGTGATAGACTCCTGAGAAGAAAACTTCTGTCTCCCTTCAGGTTTCCCAGGCCACCAGTCAGCACGTGAAAGCTACTTAATGGAGGCCAAGCCTCATCCTTTTCTCATACTGGCCTAGCCTGCGCTTTCTTCCAAATGCAGTTGAAATACTAATGTTGTTCTCACCACAGATGCAAAGACCCAGGTCTTGCCAGTGACCTCTTCTAGGGCTCACCTGGACCCCAGGTAATGGCTTGTCTCATGTTCTAACTGTTTTGTGGAAAAAACAGAGAATACCTCCGTCAAAAGCATGTTGAAAGCATTAAGTCAAACACTCAAAAGCTAAGATACTTAAAGGTTACTCATGCAAATTTAAAACAGCCCTCTTCTGTCAAGGTACATACAGCTGGGTACTGCTTATTTGCTTTTCACAGGACTGGTGCCTTTTCCAGGGTACTCAATAAACAATGCTGCAGGAATTAATCAGGCTTCTGTGGGCACACCACCAATGACAAAGAACTCTACATCAGTCATGGCAATGCATTTCCATTTCAGCGATGTGCCATGTCTCGAGGCCTCTGTACTTACAGGGCTGGTCTAGAACAGCTTTTTCCTGCCCTGACAGGTTATCATTTTGTTGGATAAAACTTATTATTTATGATATATAAACTTCCCCTGGAGTATTTTGTAATTTATTTTAGTATGTGCTTCTCTGGCTGTTACATCTACATATGACGCAGATGTACCATTGTCTTTTAGTTTTGCTGGTACAATGATGAGATTCTGTTTAGTTACAAGACTTCAGTAATTATCACTGATATGTCTTCAGTCCATAATGAAAATGATGGTGGTGTTCCTGGTGCATATTTTATTTCAGGCAGACTTTTTTTGGCTTATCTTCAGTGACATTTAGGATTTAACATTTACACAGCCATCCTGTGGAAACACTGGGCATTTCAAATATGTATTGAGAAATTGCTTTGTTCTGCTCCAGGGTTGGGCTTTTTTCAAATGTGTGAAAGTGTTTCTAGAAATCAAGAAAGTACCCTCAAATATTTTCCTCACATTTTAAGTGTGTTTACTTCTTGAAGAAAACAAATCCCCTATCATTTAAGTTAAAGTTCATTACTTTTCTATTCATATGTAGATTCCTATCATATTACATGTTTTGTATTTCCTGGAGGTAACAAGATGAATATCAAATCACATGCCCTATAAATTAGGCCATTTAATGAGTCTTTCTTATTTCAGATTAGAGCTGCTAGGTAAACTAAACATTTTTAAATAGGTTTCTGTTTAAATTATGTTGAAACATACTAAACTGTATGACAAAACTGTCCATTTTAGATTTTTTTTTCTTTGTATCTCAACATTTTTATTAAGTCTTTCACCTACTTTTACAGAGGATATCACCTGAGGTGAAGATACTTTAAAAGATGGCTGCCGTAATGGAAAAATAAATGTTAACAATTGTTTTGATCTTAAACCAATTGGTAAAGACAGCACGGCCTAGTTTATCTTAACATGGCTTTCTCTTATTAAAGCAGATATGTGTTTATTGCTCCCCTGTAAAATTAAGGCTGAAACTATAGCTTTTTGCATGAGAAAAATGGCATATAATGGTATCTGCCGTATGAAAGAAGAGCTTTGAAGGGGATGTTTTGGGTTTTTGCTCTATAGACTTTTGTAGAGTAGCAGACTGAGTCTTTGGGAAAAATATTTATTTCAAATAACCTAACTTCATAACTACATCAATGACAATCATGTCATTGGGGGCAAAGCTTTTAAGGTACAGAAAACTTCTAACCCAGACAGCAAAATTCTGAAATATTGCCTTTATTTTTAATACAGCACTCTACACTGGAGAGTAAAAGAGTCTGTTCCACATTTGTTCCACAAAATCTTAGGAGTAGCTTTTTCCTGCTCTCATTCTGTGCTCAAGGTAAACCTGCAGGTTTTGTGCACTTGCCCGAAGATGGGATAGGTAAAGGATTTACCAGGTAGATGCAGTTACCATCTCCATTTTTATCTGGATGTACTGTTAGGTTCTATTTTTATGCTTTGTAAACTCATTGCTATCTTGTGTAATCTGATGTGGGTTCTACTTGATAGAAAACAGATCTTTATTAATTCCTTGTATGAAGTAAAACGCTTAAATCTCTCCCACTCAATGCACAATAGTTCAATTCACAGAGAAAATTATATCATTTTCCATAACACAGGGCACAAGAAACTTGTTGGTAGGTGTTAGGCTGGAGCTGCAAGTGCTTCAACAGCCTGAAGGATTCTGTCAACAATCCGTAGGCACAGTTAAAAATCAACTAAACCTACTGCACAAGTGCCACTGTTTTGCCTGGACTGGCTCGAGCACTTTAGAGAATAAAGACTAACCCAGTTTGCTAATTCAAGTTTTCCCTAAACATCACTGCTCTGCAGGTAGTTTCCAGAAATATATTCCCTATCCTTACAAAGATCAATGTATGAAAAGATCCCCTATTTAAAACACAGCAGTAAACCAGGTCAAATGTTTTAGAAGTTCATATTAATTTCACATGATTTGTCTTGACTTTATCTTTAAAGCCAAGATTTAAACTGTAAACACCAAGTGCATAATAGCTGGTTTTGTTCGTAAATTTCCTACTGCTAGTTGGTAATGAAATGGAAGACATTATCTACCAATTAGAACATCATATTTCCAGAGTTGAAGGAGGTAATGTATCTGCCTTTACTTTCTGCTGTAGCTGGATTTGTGGACATAAACAAGATGAGTAACAAAATGGCTTCTTAGGAAAAAAAGAAGACTCTTCTGCAGTTTTATTGCATTCCATTTATATTTTGTTCACTAGTAGATAGGAGAGTGATAACTCAAAGGTGGGGGGGAGGGGTGGGGCAGGAAATTAGTTTTTCATAAGTAGTGGGATACACTGAGGTAACAGCTCTGAAGCATATGTGCAAGCAAGTCAGAAATGCACCAGATTAAAATTCCTGCCTATGCAGAAGTGTTCCATGGGCATCTCACGCTCCTAACAGACAAACTAAACAATAAAACATACTAAAGCAATCACAACCAGATCACATCTAAGATCCTACTCATTCAAGGACTGACATATGTCCTTGTATACTGCAAACCATCTCAGAGAGCTTATACCAAGTCCCAAAGAAAATAATATTATACATTTTCCAAATGTAGAAATCCCCATTTCCTTCCCTCCTCTAACCTCCAGTGCTTTGCCTCTTTTGTTGTCTGTGTATTTATGTGTTTCTTCCCTTCTTCCTCTCATCTTTTCAAATGTCTCCTGGTTTTGGGGGTTGTCTTTTTTCTTTTCTTTTTTAACCTTTGATTTCAAGTTTTCCTCTCTGTTACATCTTTCTAGGTTTAATCTAAATTTATGGAGGAAAATAGCAGGAATTACAATTGGCAGCAAAGTGACCATAAAACAATGCCCAAAAGATTAACAGCTTTCACCTCCTCTTCCAGTCCTCCACTTGGAAAAGATGATAACAGCATCTGGAGGAAAAATATTTGCTACTAATGAGGAAAAAAAAGCTGATTTCTATATTAGACTGAAAAAATGCAACGAGTTTGGAGGGTCTATTGCCTCTCCAAGGAACCCAGGTGAGAATTACACCATTCTGTACTTTGTGAAAAGTTGTAATACCTATGCCTACCTGGGGATAAAAGAATCTCTAATTCTAAACAAATTCCAGTTCCTGGGTGGTACACAGGTGAGCTATACTAACTGGAATTTAAATGAACCTTCTGGCCAAGGGGAAGAGGAATTTGTAGAGATATACACTGATGGCACTTGGAATGACAAAAGGTGCAACCAGAATCACCTTATTGTCTGTCATTGTTAGTGCTCCCCGATGCTGCTCTCTGGCAGGCTCCCTGCAATATGCTTGCCTATCCCTAGTATCTAAATTTGTAGCTAGTGAACTCAGATAATGCAGGATGAAAAATAAAAATCACTTTTCCCCAGCCTGATTTGTCTTTTAAGCAAATGCCGGCCATAAAGAAGAAATTACTTACGAAAGCAGTGACCATTTTGTCTGTTCTGTTATTCATTGGCCAGTGAGTTTCTTGATACAACTGCGTATGGGTTCCTATCGCTCTGTTAGCCTGCTGACTTGTTACAAGAGCAAAAATTAGATTTATTAGGCACATACCTAAAGTGACTTGCAACCAGATCTTCCAGCATCCCTTTTCCCACAAGCCTCTAAATTGTGTGTATTTTGATCCCTTTCTGTATGTTTCCCCTCACCAAACCTACCTGTACAGACATTCCTGCTACCACTGCTGTTACTCAACATGCATTTTTTTGACCACCTTCACATAACTGATCCCCTGAAAGAAATAAGCAGTGCTGCTGTGTGATGCAGAGCTATGAGCACAGGGGGGAACTCGCCCACCTTACATATTCCATGGGAAAGCTTTAGAGTCAGCAGGTCTTTAACCTTTGTGTACCTGAAAAATAGTGGCCAAAAGCTACCTGACCTAAGCCCCTCCAGCAACTCCTAATCCCTTTCCCGACTGAAAGTGGTAGCAGCACAAGCAGCCCGAGGTCCCGGGCCACATGGGATGTGTGTGCAAGAAAACGCACAGGAACCGACAGGAGTTGCAGTGCCCATGTGATGTAGGGACATCACTAGAGCCATGACAAGGCCAATTTTTTTAAGCTAGATAGGGATTCAGATATAGCTAATTTGTGGGCATCACAGAGCTGCTTGGCAAACCCTCCCCGGGGTTCCCATGGGGGTAGGCTTGGTAGACGCCTGCATTTCTGAAGAAGCCTATGCTCCTTGCAGAAGCTGCTTAGGGCCTGCACTCTCCAGCTCAAGCTAAAGGATTAAAACAAAGCTTTCTGAACAACTGTGTTATTGGAGACCAATCACCTACTAAAGTTGAGTATTCCCAAGGTTAGATTCACAATTGTGCAGCATAACAGGCCCATCCAGACACGTCTGATTTTTTTTTTTCCCTTCCTATGGAGCAGTTGACTTTAATATAGCTTTGGCAACGAAGGCTCTGTGTAACCTCCATGACATGGTACAAAGCCTGGTTGAGTATCTGGGCATGCCTCCATTTACATAAATGCAAATGCCTGGCTATTAGTCACACTCACATGCATTTTGTTAGTTCCAGCTCGGTCACAGAGAGCTGGGCAAGGAGACATGCAGATCTAGAGCCAGACGAGCTCCTCTCACCCTCTGTGTGACAGGGAGACAGAACAGTCAAAGGAGGAGGGTAACTGGGGGGGCAAGGCGCACTTGCAGCCGGTGTGAATGCAGGGGCCAGTGGAGGGGCTGCTTGAGCCTTGTAGCCATGCACGTCACTGTAATTCCAGAGCAGCAACTGGCCATGCACAACATTCCTGCTCTGGCTTAAATTTAATTACTCAAATCTTTAGAGTGCCTGTTCTCAGCACCTGCTCTGTGACAAGGCATGGATCTTCCTGCCTCCGTTCAGCCCTCTGCTTGATGTGATGGCCTGTGAATCATTCTTGCTGTTTTTCTCTGAAAACTAAGCAATTTATCTTACAGGTATTTACTTCGGATGATTACTCCAACCAGGCTAATGTCAAATCAAGACACCTTTCTGCTTGAACAATTTGGTACTTGCCGGTGGTCTACCTCCACAGGTTACTTAATTATTCCCTCCAGCAATTTTCAAATCCTTCAGCATAATAATGCATACTAAATGGGACCATGTTTCCCTGTTCTGAGAGCTGTAAAGTTATCCCAACATACGCACAGAGTTGTGAGCAAAGTCCTCAGTTTATCCAATGCATCTGTTTGTCATGTAAGGAGATCTACATGCTGTTAACTAATGCCACATTTCTGGACAACATAGCCAAACTATAAACTACAGAATCCTGTTTCATTCAGGGCCTAGGTAGACTGTTATGCTGCTATGTTAACCCAGTTGAAACAGGTACGTAGAGGGGGAAATGAGGACTCAGGAGTCCATAGGGACTGTTTGGCTTTAAAACTCTATTGCTACTCATGAACCTTTTACAGGTCACCAGTATCTGCCTGCACCCATCAGCTCACCCACCCACAGCCTTCAGCTTTCAGCCTTGCGTGACTCCTATTGTGAAACTAACTCTGCCACGAGCATGAGGAAACAAACACAGGCATCACCTCATATAGTAGTTTTCCACTCATTGTAATCCAATAAAGTTTAGGAAGTTTACAGTGATTAACATCAGCCTGAGAATGCGGTTGGACCCTGCACTAAATGCTTAAAACTATGGTAAGTTTTTTGTTTTATCCTGCTTATCTCCAGGGGGTTATATCAGAATTAGAGCTAATTGCAGGTACGTGAAAAAAAGTGGCTGCCTTCGGTGTCAGCCTAATGAATGTGCCACAGCAGAAATGTTCCCCCACCACCCCGTGTATGGGCATTTTCCTCGGTGGACTCCTAGGGAAGAGGATAAAGGACTTAATGTGTTATTCTTACACAGTTACTACAGGTGCTAGCCCTGTTCAGATGCTCTAGCTACTTGTGGTACTATAAAACTTGTGGACCTAAAAACCTCAAAGCAAGTGTTTCCCACCCACCCTGAAGCTGCTCCCTCCAATAACCCTGCTGACAGCAGGCAGGTCTGGAACCAGCAGTCTTGGCCTGAAAAGCAGATTGAGTCAACATTTGAGCACCTAATTTATTCTCTAAATCTGAATTACAGGGCAGCACAGCATCCTCCGATTTGTAAGAAGACAGGATTCCTCAAGGTTGGCAACTGTTTACTCCACAGTTTTCTGAAACAGCTATGAACTTATTTTAAAAGCCTAATACACTTTATCCTAGCCTTAAATACTAGTTGTGCTTTATAAGGCTGCCACGATTTGCTATGTATTTACCAGTACTTGTGCATTTACTGGACCACCCACCTTGCTGACAAGCTAAACTGTGTGACATTCTTCACTGTTCTGCCAGTGGAGACCACCACTTCCAAAGGTGAGAATACACTACCAGGATTATGATTAACATTTTATTAATTTTAAGAGTTAGTAAAGAAGAGGATAAGCAGATATCTTGGAAAGAAACTTAAAAAGGAACTTGGTTTTGGCAAGATCAATGAAATATTAGTGTCAAATATCAAGAGAGATGGAAGTCACATGTCAGGTTTGGGAATAAAAGTGTTACTGATTCTTCCTTGCACAATTTAAATTTTTTTTTTTTCCACAACCAAATGTTCAGAAAATTGTTAAATCTATAAAAATATCCATCATGTGAAAAATTGTTCTTAAGTTATTTTCTGTAAAAATACCCTAGTTTGTATTTTCTATGTTTTGTGAGCTTAAACCTGTTACCAGTTAGGTGACTGAGGTCTGAAGGGACATGTTTGAAGTCTGAACTTTGCTTTCAGTAGCTGCATACATAGACCCCTTTGGATATATGCATTCCAAGACAGCTGCACAGAGTTCATTTTCCCCACCAATGGGTTTTTAACCCAGGCTGCAGTTTGGCCTTCACATCTTTCCTTGTCACCACAGAAGTGCTGGATGCAATATGGTGTACAGCTAAGAGGGCCAGTTTTCAGGGACCGGGTAATGCCACCTCCACAACAGCATGAATCAGAGCCAGCGTTGGCTTAGCAAAGCCTCTGAAAAGGTTTCTATGTGCTTTTTACTTCATATAATAGATACTGTAGCAGCCTGACTAGCTGTGATTTTTCAAATATTTAAATAAAGCTAAGCTTGTAAATATCAAGGGGGCTGTTGAACATACATAGTTGGAAAAGAGCTTGATGTATGAACCCCTTGGATCTGCAGGAACCTTGGGGGTATCAGCCATCGTGCTCTGAAGGCTGCCTGTACTACTCATTAAATAACTCAAATTCTAACTGGTTATTATTATCAGATTATTCAACTTCTGAGTAAATAAGATGATTTACAAGGAAAGCCCAAGTGGTTTCCTGGCCAAAAAAGGGACATTATTTTTCACTACAGGTGACCGTCTCCTAAAGAAATGTGCATGTGTGAGCCACCAGCTATTGTTCTGCTGATCCTGAGCAAACTGTGGTCGAGGCAGAATGGCTTCATCCTTTCTTTGGAAAGGATTGTGCCTCTTTAAGAACACCCAGTGGGAGGTAACACAGGCACCACTGTACAAACAAGTACCTGTGCACAGGTGCCGGTGCCGGGCTCACCTGAGCCTCACGCAGCTGAGGGGACACTGCCCTCACCCTCCCTGCTTTGTCTGGCAGGTTGAACACCTTCTCTAACACACACTCTTGCTGCCTGAAGGCAGAGGGCGGATGCCTAAAGCGACTCTATTTTATCTGCAAGACACCTTGAGGACGCTGAGAAGGTAAGAGTGGACGGAAAAGAGCTGAATGTCTGTGTGACCACACAAGCTTTAGAGAAAGCCAGAACTTGTTTCAGGTAGTCTAGTTGAGAAAGATGCAAACATTCAACTCAAATTCAACTGCTTGTTGGCCTGTCTGCAAAAATGAGGGGATAGCTAAATTATTTCTAAGTTGGTTAAGAGATTTTTCAGCAGGGAAGGGATGAAGATGAAACTAAAATAAATTATAAGAATAGCAACTCTAAGTTCACTGATATCAAAATAGTTTGCTAAATGGTTATAGAGTTATGTCAGCAAGTGCACTGCATAAGGCAATCCATTTTTTTTTTTAAGACTAGTGGATCTTCAGCTTGTAAAAGTTTATTCAAAAGTGTTTAAAGTCTAAATATTTCAGAACAGGAAATGTCTATTTGACTCATAGATGTATATAACCCCTCTCCGCACTTCATTCAAGAGTCAAAAACCTAATAGACATATGCCAGGAACTCTAAGATAACACATAAATCCACCTTATTAAATACAAAAATCAGAATTTACATGTCCAGAAGTTATTTATGCATACTTCCAATAACAGCAGAAAAACTTTATTGCATGTTAACTTTCATTGTAGGCACCTGCTTACTTTGGAAGTGAAACATACCACAAGTAAGGCATGATCAGCAAAATCCCAGTGTGCTATACTACTTTTGCATTATTAAATATGCTGTCTTCATCATACCTTTCTTTTTACAATCTTCTCCAAAATTTTATACATATCTTCTGTACACAAACTTCATATTGTTTTTAAAATTCTTTAAACTACATTTACATCCTGTAGTGACTTCACTTACAGAAAGCTTTACACAGGTTTACATAAAAAGTAATCAGATTAAACTACAGCATGCTTTATAAAGGCTGAAATCCTTTCAAAAAGGAATACTACAATATTTATAAATCAGCACTTTATTCTGCTGTTATTTGTAGAGGAGATATTTATAATATAAACAAATTCAGTGATACTTCTTTTAGTATTTTATGATTCTAAGCATTTTCATAACACTCTTTTGGTTTGAAAGGTTTGGCTCTTTAGAGGTGAAAGCAATGTTATTAGATCTTTGAGGTTTTACATAGTTGAAATACAGCCTTTTCTCTAAGGTACTAAACACATGAATTCGATTTCTGGATTTTACAGGAGCTTAAGGGCACTTTTAAATTGCAGTATTGTTATCTGTTGATCATCACTGTCATTTCAAGCCACTTACCATGTCTGAAACCCAACTCTCAGTACTTTTCACATTCCTACTGTTTGCTACCTCTGTTTAGAACATACAGTCACAGAAATGGCACAGGAATTCACCTTTCTGCAGCTGCACTCTGTTACAAGGCACACCATGGACATTGCAGCAGTGACGACCTCTTCAGAAAGCTAGTCTACATGTGCAGTTGTCTTTAAATATTAATAGGAAGTTGGCAGTCATGTTAGAGAACACATACACAGTAACTCTTGTTTTCCTCACTTGAAGGCTTAAGATTTAAATCACTGAGTGGAACAGGAAGCAGAACAAGTTCATTGCTGTTGCTGGTTTAGCCCTTTTGACTTGTTTTTCCATTAAAGTAAGTACCTGTCTGGGAGAAGAAGTGTTCACACCTCTAAAATGGCAAGTGTTCTGCAGCTCCAGTTGTGCTAAAGCAACTGAGAGCCAAGCTTTAGATCTAACTGGGCAGCTCTCACATCTAGATAAAGGTTCCTCCCTATCTAAAGAGCTATAAGCCCTCTTTCTATAAGAGGGCAGAAATTCAATATTACATATCTTACCAGATATACTTAATTAGCATAATTTAGTGGAATTGGTGACTTGGTAAAATATCAGAAATGACTGCGTGAAGAGATAACTAATATCCAATCTTTAACATTTCAGATCTATGTTTTTGTTTAATACTATTGATTGTGTTTTTTCATCCAACATGACTGTATAAATCTCCACCAGGCAAACTCATGATTGAACACTGTCATTTGATTACACAAAGATAAATCTGACCAAGGTATTCCCAAAAGTGCCAATAACACATTATGTAGAAGCTTTTCCACTGTCTGCTCTAGCTTCAGTATGTTTCAGTAATAATGAAAATCCAGGCTTCTAGGAATAGGATTCTGAATAAGACTCTGCCGATGGAGAAAGAAAAGGAAAGGATTTAATCTCACTTAACTATTACTGAACAGTACAGTCAATGGCCTAAAACTTTTGTAGAAAACTTGTCCTGATTGATTGGTCTTTCTTAAAGCCACAATCGTTTTCTTTCTTGTAGGAATAGTTTTTCTCTTCCCTCCTCCCCACAACATGGAACATGAAAGAGACTAAACAAATTGTGATTACTCGACAAGATACATGATAAACACCAGTGCCCTTCTACCTGCTTCAGGGACCATAGCAAAACCAAGCCTCCCAATAAGTGTTTTCAGCCAGGTCTTTGCAAATGATACTTACTATTGGAATCTACATGCCTGCATCAGTCAGTATTTTCTTTGCCTATGAGAACATCTAGGGCAAAACCTGATGCTGTTGCCAAGGGTAACTAGTAACACTAGAAACAAAAATCTTAGAGCAGACCATCCAGCACAAAATTAAGCACTAAATTCACCTGTTTGGTGAATCAGTCAAGGGTCTGTTTTCCTTGATGTGTTTCCATAAATAATCAGACACACAAGCCCATAAGCAAGTGTCAGCCTAAAGCATGTTTATGCTAGCTTTACAAATATTTAGCACCAAGGTTTTTACTCAGAGTACTGAGTAGTTCACCAATGGGGAATTTGTTCTGTTGCAGTCACTGAGGTTCTCATCTGCCTGAAGTCATCCAACTCCAGAAATCATTTAAGAGCTACATGATTTAGACAGAATCAGTTATTTCCAAAAGCATGTAAATATTGGTGTAAACCTGAAATGCTGTGTTGGGGGAGATGACAGAATTGCAGCTTCTCTGTTGGAACTGAAGATGAGAAAAGGCAAACAGTATTTGCCCACATTTCTTGTTTGCTTCCAACTGAGAGAATCTTCTGCTCTCAGGTGGTTTTTGATTGACAGTAAGTGCTGTATTTACTAATCAGAATATCCTGATAGAAACAAAAGAAAATATAACTCAGTTCACTGGTATGTAATAGACTGCAGACTTGGATCCATTCTGCCTTTTGGTGGCTTCACTTACAAATTTAACAGGCTCCCAAATACTTTGTTAAAACTTGTTTTTCTGTTCACAGGTTAGCTGGCAGTACTAGATCTGTGACCTTTCCAAGTAGAGAGAAAAAGCTGTTACATGATAGTCAAATATTATGAAGTTTGGAGGAGGACAAGTTATACAAATAGGTGCCAATACAGGTATGAGATTATCTTTCTGCCCTATTCGAAACATCTTCAGAGTAACCACAACTGAGAGCAAGTAACAGACTGGGAGGCCACTGCCTCCCACAAACATCTTGCCCAGGGACCTTCTCAAGTTACAGTGACCACTATAAACTCCAGAAGTCCATCTTAAAGCTTTACACTGCTTCTGTAAACTGCAAATACAACTTTTCTGAGTAACAATATTGCTACCTTCAGCATTTGATCTCATCATACACAAAGTATATGTACTCCTCCTCAGTTGGGGATAAATACATCTGGATTTCCATAAGGTTTTCCCTACTATTAGTTATCTAAAAATCAATATTCATGAGTAACTCAGTGAAAAAATGAAATATTAGTAGAGAAAAATAACAAACTTATGTTAAAAAGTCCATTACAGCTAGAATCAAAGATTGCATTCAATACAGCAATGCCTGCAGCAGGCAGGACAAGCGCTCTTAAATAGTTTCAGCTGGTGGGGAAACATTGGGATAGATTCCTTGCAAGGCAGAAGCCATAAGGCAGCTGTCTCAGCTGCATCTTGTCCATCCACTTCACTGGAAGAGAGCAGCCCATGTTAAAGAGTAAATCACCCCATCTGCCCATGTGGGTTTGTTTTTTCCTAATAATCAAAAGTCAAGGCTTCAAATCAAATGGTCAAACTGTATTTTCTAGTTTTTCTATATTGCAGCAGACTGCAAGCTGACAGACAAGTACATCAGCTAAATATACTATAGTGCAAGTCTTTTGTATCCTGCTTATATTGTCCTCTGTGACAGCTGTATGCTGTCTTAAAGATATTACAATTCATAAATGGATCTGTGCTAAGATAAGGGGAGCAGTGAAGCAATCTACAGTCTAAGACATACATTTTTACAAGGCCTACTTTAGATTGCATTAAACATACACAGTTAATGAAGCATACCAGCTTCATTTCCAGAATTATGTAACAAGGCTATAATTTTGTTTTCTGTGGAGGGTGTAAGTGTAGAATTGTGATTTTTCTAAGGAAGGATTGTTTCTACAGTGCTAGGACAACCTCTAATGTCCAAAAAGGTCTTCCATCAACCGTAGTTCAGAAAAAATAATTAAATTTGTGTAGCTTCAAATCTGAAATGGAAGGTACAACCAGAAATCACAATTACCTAATAGGCTTCTTTTTCGCCTCCCCAAAGGTCTTCATTATTGTATACTTCTCTAAAGTAGTAATTTATTGCATTCCATTTATTTCCTTCAGCTCCAATCCTTGCAGATGCCTTTACTCTTCTACCCTGTTAAATTTTGGGGTCAGATCTAAAGCATCCTTCACAACAAATTTTTCTGTGATTTAGAGACCAGATTCAATATGCTCACACGTTCATTGGTGAGGATTTTAGTGATGATAAAGAACTTGCAAAGCTCCATTGACAAAGTGTATTTATTCTAATAGAAACAACACAGCTTTTGTATTTCTAGAACTATGTTTTGGTTGGCTGCTATTTTGATTCATTCATACCTTCCATAATCAAACCTCAGAGGTTTAGAAAGTTGGCAGGGACACTGGCTGTTCAGAAAGATTATTTAACCACGCGCAGATTGTGTGCATCAAACACTGTCAATGCAAGAAACACCTAATTAACTGAGCAGTTGCAGACCTTTTACAGCTGTGCTGCATGAAACACAGGTTGGCTGACACAGGCAGGCAACATCTAGAAGGGTCAGTGAGTCAGAGCCTCCAGCCTCTGCACTTACACATTGCACAGCACTACAGCTTAGACTCTCTTGTCAGTTCACCTATTTCTTTTTGGAACGGATTCCACTGCCATTAATGTACCTTACTTAATGATGTATTTTACCGAAAATTATATAATGTAGTAATAGTTATGTATGACATAACCCTCTTCTCATGTAGGAGTAGCTATGAAGAGTTGCTGATGTATTCAGTCCCCAAAGACCAAAGCAAGCTGCACATGCCCCCGGGGGCTGCGCAGCACTCAAGCTAGGAGCCCAGAGCCTTAAAACATGAGAACATGAGTGCAGGGAAAGCACAGAATAGGTGGATGAAGGACAAATTACTAGTTTGGGAATATTATATAAGACTTATTATCTGTTACAAGCCATCAACAGCTGTTCTAGCTGAAACAATGTAGTCAACAGCTCCAATAAGCAAACAAGGTCCTTGGTAAACCAACCACTGCTCTTTACAGCCTTGAACTACTCGGCCTTGACTACTTGAAGCTGTCTCCACACTACCACAGACCATCCCATCACTTTCCAATTGCTTCTACATCATCAGCCTCACCGTTATTTTCTGACTGCAGAGCATTTCAGCTCCTCAGAAGGGCCAAGGCAGACAGAAAATCAGCAATAGCACCCAATGAGTGATTCCCCCCGCGCATACACATGGGGCTGTTTTGTCCAACCTCTTTTTCACTGACAGTGGTACAACTGCCAGGACAGCAATCCCGTATTCCAGCATAGTGATGTGTTATGTCTTCTTCACCAAGGAATGACACAGAGGGGTGATTTCCCTGTGGTGCTTCTACTGCCTGTGCGCTCAAGCACACCTCACCTTCCTCATCTCAAACCATAGTGTTTACTTCCTCAGCAGAGGAAAAGCCTTCCTTCAGCCTTAGCACCCAGAGTGCCTTAGAACCTCTATTTGTCATGCACCATGGTATATAGTTCAGCTGAAGATCAATGAAAGTTTGTGGAAGTGGTGTTACCTCCCCTCACAGGCAGGATTTAAGGAAAGGGGCAATGCTCTGCTCTCATCCTCACCAGATCAGGCTGCTGGGGAGCAGTGGATGCTCTCACTGCATTTTTATTCTTTTTTTTCCCCTTAACCAGGTGCTGGTGAGGAATCAGTAGAGTAGAAAGCGGCAACAAGGGACTTCCCATGCAAAGTACGTCTGAATAACTGCTTGTCCAAACAGGGGAATTGAAACAAACTGAAAGAGTGGAATGAGGAAGATACTGAAACAACAGCAAGGATTGAAATGAAAGCTGAAAAAGGAAGAAAAAGCAGCATCAGAAAGAGTTTAACAGAAAATGTCTGACAGAAAAAAAGGCAGAACCAGAAAGCAAGTCAGAAATTAAGATATTTAAATGAATTGATGAATGACGAAAATTGAATTTGAAGACGAGGCCTACCTCTAATACTCCCAGTGCAGCAGCTCTGTGCAGCAGTGAAGCAGCACAAAGCAGCTGCCTGAACCCAAACATCACTTCTCCACAGTTGCCTCCCCTGGCTGAGAACAGCCTCACACTTACCTTCATCCACCAACCAGAAGGAAGAGAAGAATAAAATCAAGCGTGCCACAAGAAAGGTCAGAATACGACACAACCTAACAAGCTCCAGAAAGCAGCCCGCATCAGTCAGAGCTGCAGGCCTGAGCAGATGAAAAACAAGAAAAAACAAGCAGCTCTTTTGTGGCTGAGGTGAAAACGGACACAGGACACAGCCAGCTTCAGGGAACAAACCTGGCGGGCAGCATTCCAGCACCAGCGACTGTCCTGCCGCAGGTATGTGGCTTCTCTGGCAAGGAGGCAGCAGCCATGAGCATGCTCCAGGCTCTGACCTAGGGCGGCTTCACCTACGTCCTCCATTCTTTTCCCCAGTTTGCAAGATTTTACATTAATCTAACCGTTAAAATTTGACACAACCTTGAGAGAACTGAGTTTTTTGGAAAGGTCACTGCTGCAAGGCAGGCACCAACCCTGGCTGGGCAGGCAAAACCAAGTCTAGAGAGAGACCATGTTTTCCACTGCCAAAAGTCTGAGTCTCTCTCTCAAAATAGTCTGAACTAGTACCTCAATAACAAGAGGAGATAATAAACCTACAAGAAAGACTGGCACCAGAGAGCCAAGCTTTGACTGAGTAGTGGAGTGCAATTCATTTAGAAGCCATCTAGAATCTGCCCAAAAGACATCTAGCCTTCATTAAGAAATATCATTAACTAAATCCTCCAGTATTTGTTACCAGACATCTGCTGCTTCTCCTCACAAGACCCAGCAAAAAACCTCAGCTGAGTGCAATTTTAATGCTGTTAAACCAGGTACAAAATTGCGTGCAACTCATTAGCTTCCCATATATACTCAAATTCTTCTACTCTCTCTAAATAAGTCTATTCTATCAACCCTGTTTCAGCCTTTTTCACATAAGGGTCAGGATTTGGTGACAGAAAGCCAGTATACCACCCACTCTGAAAAACAACAGACAAACCTGAGATCTCCTCTGCTGAAATCTAGGCCAAATTCTCAGGCAGCACCGCAGCCCCTCAGGAAACCTCCTTACTGCCAGGACACAGAAGCAAGAGATATGGTGGAAAAAAGCTCTCCTCAGCCCCTGACCACTACCTTTTATTCACCCTCCTTACAGCTTCAGCTTCCTTATGGTTTTCAGGTGTGTAGATCCTGTGTTGAAGGAATTGCACTGAGCCCTTGATTAACCAGGCCACACCTGTTAATAGTTCTGGCTCCTTGTCTCAAAACCAACATGATTTAACTCCTTCCTAACTGCTCTACTCTCTATTTTGCAAAACTAAAGACTTGAGACTTACTAGCTCTGCTTCTGCTCTACACGTACAACCTGCTGCCTGGCTGCTAAACCTCTCTGCATCTTAAGCTCATACCTGTTTGATTAAAGCGTTCCAAATAGAAATCAGTTTTCAACAGATTTAACAGTTTCATTAAAACATATCTGTATTAATTTTCAAAGCATATAATTCTTCATTGAGCATCCATGGAAGCTCTATGCCAAGAAAAAGTTTCTAAAACCTACAAGGGAAAAAAAGAGACAAAAAAAATGAGACAAAATACACATTCTGATGGAAGATAACTTACAGTTCTCCCTTCTTTCCGTTGAATCCTTTTAGCTTTAGCTTTCTTACATGTCAGTGTAATAATAATTTTGTGTAATGATGCTCAAAGTGGGAGGGGAGGGCCTTAGAAATCAGAATTTTAAAGAGAAGATGACAGAGGCTTGTCCAAGAGTCAGGAATGGTGTTTCAGGGTGGACGTAGTGTCTTACACCAGCATCAGTGACGGCAGCTGAGCCAAATGGGAAAGACAGGCTGATGCTCCACGAAGGCTCTTGAGAGGACAAAGGGCAAGAGAACAGGAAGTCTTCTGGGGCCTGCAGCTGCTGAAAACATGTTTGTTCTTCAGGATGAGAAAATAATAGACCAAAGAGGCTGACAGCCCTTTGTTGGCTAAAACAAATACATTATAGAGTTGTAATGCCTATTTGCAAGAAAGTAATGCAGTGTATTTTTTGCTTTACAGCTTCAGACTCTTGACATGGAGGAAATCATGGTGGAAACGGTCCTGGCGCCGTGGGAAATACTGCTGGTCATTTTTGCCACAGTGCTGATAATGAGTTTTCTCATGTTTCTGCCCCCTGCTGCAGTGGTGACCTGGAGAATGAAGCGTGTGCCGCAGATCTCACTGCATGGCTCGGTGTGAGCGAGCCCTGGTACAAGCTCTAACACCACCGATCCCTTCAAAGGGTGGTTCAGAATGATAACATCTCTCAAGACCACTCATACTACCTCAGATCTATCCAACAGTGATGGGTTTCACAGTCTATTGCTGCTAAGTTCCTGTGAAAAGAGAATGTGTACAATTTTGTCTTCACACACTACAGTTCTCAGCACTTTGCCTTCCATTTTTTTTGGCTATGTTATAATTACCATTGTTGGTTAGTTCCTAGACTGACTTCTTCTATTGCATTATAATGGACTGAAAACAAGACTGAAAGAGAAGCAAGCATAATACAGCATTGTATTCCCTTAAGTAATATCAGGAAAGGCTCTCTTTCTACTGTTACACTGTAAGTATTACCAAAGCCTTTAGCTGAGATGACTGACAGTTATGCAGGTGGACATATCAAAAGCATGCAGTATACTCTGGGGTGGTAGTGGTTTAGTCTGGTTGGACTATGAACCCTACAAAATAACAACAGAGAATCGTGTAATAAATACACCTCTTGTGCTTCTTTTGTCTCATCTGAAAACTTACTGGCCTGAAATGTTATTTCGTTTCCTTCCTCCTATGTGAATTTTCCTCTCTCTGCAAATCCTGAGTGCCAGAACACAAAGCCCTCCCCAGCCCAGGCTTAGAGCAGGAACATGAGGGGTAGCCCGATGCTCAGACATGCCCAGCCAGACGCTGACTTGAAGTTAATGCAAACATACAGCAACTATTTGTCTGGATTACATTATGCAAATTTACTCTGGGAAATAATACGATTCTTTTCTTTAGTTTTTAATTGTCATATAGGCTTATTGGTTCAACTTCACTTTCTCTTATATAAATGGTAACTTGGATGGCAGGAATAGAACAAAACTGATTCTCTGCAAGTTTATGGAAAAAACTCCAACAACCCAGACTCCATCTTAATATCGAATTCATGCCACATCAAATTAAAGTTTTCCAGATTAACTCTTCAACATTGTGGGACACTTACTAGCAGGATTTCTGATGCACAGATTTAACAGTTTCTGTTAACTTACAATAGGAGTGGGTTTGATTTCCTCATGAAATCCAATACTGGGTTTCTTTTCTTTTGTTGATTGGTTTGGAAAGCTCACTAGAATAGATTAATATAACTCAGAGGAAAATATTTTTTACACCAGTAGGAAAATGATACTGGGAAGTGCTCAGTGCTTCAGATATTTTATTTGACCACGAGCTGATAATGAATTGGCTGGAAATGAAAGACTGAAAGACATTATAATTTCATTTGATAGCAATTATTTGTTTGCCAGAAATAAACAAACCCACCAGAGATTGAAAAACCATTGCTTTTCTTTAAGACTACAGCACTTTTGTCTCCACCACAATGACTTCAGTTACTGCCTCATACTTTATAAGCAGTCAAAGCAGCCAACTCATCCCTTTGTTGGTGTAATTGTCTGCTACACTCATAGTCATATGACTGTCTGGTTCTGGGCCCAAAAGCAACCGATGGTTTTTTACTTGTAATGACTGGATTCTGAGCCTGAAAAAGTGTGTAATTTTATATATCTGAATCATTAAACTGATTAATGAGGTAAAGGTCAGTTATGTATTACCTACCACATAACTATGCTATCTGTGCCAAAGAGATTTACAGGAATAGGGAAAAGGTAAAGAAGAGAGAGGAAACACAAACAGATGAGCTGGCTGTCTTCAGATCTATGGCTTCAGTGTTTGCTCAACATAAAAAAATTAAAACAAAACCCCAATCACGGATTCCACTGAAAACCAAGCAAGCAGTAACTAAGCTTTTTGTTTAGATTTCGTAATATTTCACATGCATGTCTGTTCTGTAGCTACAGCTCCACAAATAAATTGGATCATCAGTGCTAAGTTGTCTTTGGTCTTCACTTGTGCCAAGCGCCAGTGGAACAACAGTCTGGGTTTTCTGCTCTTCACACCTCTTACTCTGTGTCTTTGATTTTCCAGAGTACACAAGTACATGGAGGGGTGGCTGTGTGTAAAAGAGTAGAGCACTCACAGAAGACAGGGGATTGGAGCAGGAACAAGTGTTTTTATATTTCATTACAATACTCAATAACAAAAACAATCATTTGGATATTTTTTTCTTGTTTAGAGCTGCTACAAATTCAGATGATCAGCTAAATTTTTGCTAACTTTGGCAACAGCCAAATATGCCCCAGTTTAGACCAGTTTTAGAAAAAGAAAGAAGAGGGGAAAAAACAGGGAGGATGACTAGCCAGAAGCTGTGGAAACACTGGACTGGGACCAGTATCTGCCCTGGCACTACTGTGCTGAGATCAGATCATCGCAGGAGGTCGGCCCTGCGCTCAGCCCGAATCCTTAGAACTCTACCCTAAATATGGCCTGTCCCAGATCTATTACCAGCCAGACCTTGTTTGCTTTTGTACTTTCCCTCTGAAGCTAAACCACAGCTTGTGGTAACCACAGCCTCTGCCTAACAGAGGCCCCTCGGGTGTGTGTGTCACATACATCCAGGGAGTGCAAGGAAACACAAACACAGAAGATCACTTGCAGCCCTGGATCCCACAGTGTGGGCACAGCTGCTGTTAGAGCAAGCCAAAGGTCAAAAAGACTTTCTTTCCAGAACCACCATGGTTTTGCCCCAGAGACACTGAACAGAGGAGACTGAAGCTGATCCCTGGCACACAAACTTGAGAAGTTATCATACAGGTCCCTCAACACCCACCTCCTTCATCTTTCAGTCAGAGAAGACATGATGCAAATATTTGCTAGTTTAGGGCAATCCCAGTTCTCATGTTTTGTACTGGACTGAGATGTTACACTTTTACTGACAATTTGCCTGGTTACAGCAAGCATACAGGGCACTTTTGACTTCTAGAAATGCATTGAAGTATACCTGTAGGCTATGTCTTTCTGTGGAATGTCCTCAAGGTGATAAATACAGGAGAAGCCTTTGAGTTCCACCAACAAATGGCAGTGCTTCAAGCTCATGCAAAACACAGCAACTTGAACAGCTGTATGTACAGCCTGATTTAACCCCGAGTCGAGCAGGCACATGAATAAAAGATTACACCCCTACAGGCAGAAACTGTTGTCACTTGCATTGCTTTAATGGTCATCAAAGAAACAATAGTGATTAATTGGCAACTGTAAAACCAACTAAAATTATGGCTCTTTTTCAGTAAAGATGACCCCTGACAGAAAGTGGTTTCTGATAACAATTATTGTGTTCAAATAATGACTACGTCCATTAAACAACTCTAACTCTTATTTAATTCCAGCTAGACAAATTTAAGCCTTAAAAGTGATCTTTGAAACACCTCCGCCACATGAGCTGTGTGAGTATGTTTACCCTATATATCTCTACCCAAGAGCTGAGGTCAAATGATCACTATGATCTCTACTATTTTAACTAAATAAAAGCTGTAAATTTACATGTCTTAGCAATGATTTCACGGCTCTACGTCACTTGTCAAAATACCCATGTCAAATTGCAAATGGCTGGTTGTTCTGTGGCACAAGATTTTTGGTGCTAGTAACCACAGATGATACAACCAGCCTCCTTGTCACGGTTGGAGATGTCGATGCCCTGCTCACCAAGTTCTTTGAGGAAGATGTTTAGCTGCTCTGTCTCAGTTTCAGTGCTGGCTAACGTGCGCAGGCAGGTGCTGTTGGTGGGGAAATAGGCAGATTTAGCCCCACTGATGGCTGTCTCAGAGGCTGGAAAGATCAAAAATGACACACAAAAAAAAAAAAGGCAGAAAAAAAAATTCAGCTGAATTAGCTTAGATATGTCCTGATCTTTAAACAAGTGTCGGCATTCCTATTTACCAAACTAAAGACCTCAGCTTGGATTAAAAGTGCTGATTGCTTTGGGTAAGCCTTGTAAAACAACTGCTCTAGCAACAAGGCACTGTCAACAGTAAAATATTTTCCATTAATATCAGGAGAGATAGGTTGGCCCCTTTGTGTATCTATATGCACATTTATTTTTAAATTAAGGCAATAACAGTGGAGTCAGACAGCCTGCTTCAGGTCACAGATTACTCACTGGATGCAGTGGGAGTAGTCTTAAACCCCTTGGGCTGCTACATGAAAAAGGCAGCATCGTTGGCTGGGGACCAGCTCTTGGGTTTTATTGTCTGTACGTACAGTGAATAGTGCTGGTGTTGGCCCATTTTGCTGAGGTTCTTCAAGTACTGTTGCAGGATAAACAGCAGTTTTATGTTCTACTGCTGTCTGTCCAGTGGGTCACACAGCCCTTGTGCAATGGAGGGTTTGTGTTAAGATGATACCTGTTCACTGTTTAAAACAAAAGGTGCACCTTCCCACAAACACTGCATACATGTCATATTTGCTACACCAAGCTGAAATAGCAATATTCAGGCCTTTGTGATAGTTTTAAAGATAACATGATTTCTTGTTCAGCAGTTTGTCAGCCCAGAACTCTCTCACAATGTCACATACGCCAAGGTTGTTACACATGGCAGAGAGGAAAGAGAAAATTTATTTCCTCCTTTTTTTAAACAAAACAGATGGAGCCTCCCTTGCCTGTGACCAGATGTGATTGAGAAATACTCACGGTTACAAACAGCCAGTGCCTTTCCCCCGACAAGCTGTGTTGTCCAGGAAAACCCAGTGCCGTTGCCACATACTTCATACAGTCTACTTCTTCTGAGGAATTGAAAGTCATAACCCTTGAGAAACAAAGATGGAGAAAAAACAAACAAATGGTGTCTTAGGCTACATCATGGTAACTGCAAGATGAAGAAACATTCAGTCAGTAAAGGTCAATACAAACACTACAATCTCTTCCTGCCCTAGGGGAGGAAAAAAGAAGTATAACAAGGAAAATTATGCATTGCACAATAAACACTTGCAAATTAATGAATAGTTGCAGCAATATTACAGCAGTAACCTCTGAATATTACCTTGTTGCACATGGGTTTGCAGTACTGAGCATTGTCAATGGTGACACACACCAGCCCACCGTTTCTAGGGGCTAGTGGGAGTGGGCACGGAGGCAGCTGCTTGCAGACTTTCGAGTGGATTATGAAGGAAAAAAAGAGAGCAAGAAAACAACATATCAGAAAGAAAGTGAGTATAAAAGTCTCTCCCTGCCAAGCAAAATGTAGGCATACTCACTGGCCTGGGTATGGGTGATAGCTGCCCCCACTAGCTGACTTTGTCAAAGTAAGCATTTTCCTTTATTTAAAACCGTCTTTGTTTGTTTGGGGCTTTTTTTGGCAACACCCAATTTTTCCATCACTTGTCACTGTGACAGCGAAGTCCCTGTCAGCCCCGGGCACACTTTAAAAGTGGCTCAGAGCGGCATTTGCATTCACAGCACTGGCATTCAGTACCTTTGTGGCCCAAACTATCCAAATATTTCCTCGAAAAATACGAATGACGTGCCCGCTGCCGGGCGCCGGCGCGGCTGCCGCTGCCAGGCAGAGCAGGCCCTGCCGCCCCTGCCACGCCGCGCTGCTGCCCGGCACCGGCGGCCAGCCCGTGGGGCCGGGGGCACCCCACGCCTTGGTGCTGCCGAGCCCCCCGGTGCCTGCCAGCCCAGCGGTTAAGCCGCCTTGCTTTCTGGCTTGTTGCTCAGATGCCTTTTCCCCCCCACACCTCAAGAAAGGCAGACACTTAGCTCACGCTGACTGCAGGTACAAAAAATTTCCTTAGTGCTTCTCCATTGCCACTGTGTTCAACACCCGGTAAAGAGGAGCAAGGGTTCAGGAGGGGCCTCACATTTCTCTTGAGCAGGGCGCAGGAGATCAAGTATGTCTTGCAGTGTCCAGGCGAGGAAATTGATTGAAGCTTTTTCACCCTTGGCGATCATTTCATGAAAGCATTTTGAATATTTCTGTGGAGTTAGGGGAGAAAAAGACTAAGCTGAAGAGGGAAAGCCTTGGAATTAATTGATGAAAGATGTCAAATTTTTTTTTTTTTTAAATGCAGAACAAGAACCATCTTGAAAATTATATAGCTTTAAGTAACGTTAATTTCCCCACAATGTTTTTGGAAGAAATACAGTAACTTTTTTTGAAAACAGTGGTTAGATAGGTTTTTTTCATTATATTGGTTTCAGAAGGAGGACCGGTATGGGTTGAGGCTTTCTTTCCTATCTATGAAAAGATGCTTTTATAAACAACCGTATGTGTCTTTTTTCTCTGCAAAACATTGATTTGTTACTCTTACCTTCATATGTGAATAGTGCAGAGCTGTGGTGAACACCACAACCAAGACACAAGTGTGTGCCATCATTATAACGGGCACCAGTTACTTTGGACTTACACAGGTGCAAGAAGAAGAACAAGTCCAATATTCAGTGGCAGCTGCTGAAACACTAGCCAGCAATGGCTAACTGCTTCTCAGGATGAAGCTTACAGAAACACTGCTGAAATTGATGGGCATCAGTCATACCAAGAAATCATATAGTTTTGACTCTTTGGGGGAAAAAAAAACCTCAAACACCTGGGAGAATGCCTCCTCAGCAAGTGCTGCCCTCAGACTTTTTTTTTTCTGCCCTCGTGTGATGAGAACAATACTCTGGGCAGAAGCTCACAGTAGATACTGGTATGTGGCCCGCCCCTACCCCAGCTATTAGTTCAGTGTTGCTGATTTACAGACAGATGTCCCTACTGCATGTGAAAAATGTTTTATATGCTCTGCCCTGGTATTTCTTTACCATTTCTGCCATATTCTAGGGTCACTGCCTGCTCACCCCATTATGGTATACCTAGCCCATAGAAGACAGGAGCACTAACTCATAAAACATAGCCTTTTGGTTGACTGGCTTTACTTGTATTTAAAATATTTAGCACTTCATATTTGAAAGTGGGCTTGAAAACAACATTATGAATGTATAACAAATCACATAAGCCGTAAGTGGTTATGTTCAAGCCATGCTACATATCTGGAGCAAAGCAAAATTGGAAAATACACCTACAAGGACCGTTTTTTGGTTTTGACTAGCAGCAGCAGGGCCAAAAACAAGGCAAGTCAAATGACACAAATCTTTTTTTGCTCTTCCACCTCGCATCCCACCGCACCATGTACTTTTACTGAGCCGGGCATTGCCAAAGCAGCGTGCCGGCTGTGCTGGCCCAGCCAGGGCGCACGGCTGGCAGGTCCCCTCTCCTCCCACACTGCAGAAGGGCCGGGCGGAGCAGGGCCTGGGCCGGCCAACCTCTTACCCCAAGACTCTCATTCACATCCTGTACGGTTGCACTGTCACAGTCACTTGGGCTGGCAAAAGCTCCGATTTCAGTAAAATCTAAAAGACAAACAGAAGCAGGTACATAGGAGGTTAATAATCCCTCCCAACCCATGAACAAACCCCAAATACTGCATAACAGAACCTGCTTATGGGAATTGTGCCACTGGGCTGCAGTCCTAGTGCCGCCTGGTATACTGGCGGTGATCAGGGCTCAAACGTGAATCAGCTGTACAAATACTGATTTAGTCTAAACAGTTAGAAATCTGATCACCTGTTTGCAGCCACCCGGGGCTGAGTTCCCAAGCGGGATGCTTCATTTCTCTAAAAGACAGCTGCTATTTAAATAATTGTTAATCGTATTCAAAACCAGCAATATCTTACCTGCAAGAAGCACTGTTAAACATGTGAAAACCAGTGTTTTCCAGAGCGTGCAGGATCTGGACAACATTTTTTTCTGTGGGAGACTTGGGGCTAGTTACTTGCTGCTCGTGGAGCCTACGAGCTGGTGCGCTGGCGTCAGGCACAAAGCTGCATGTCTGTGGTCGCTGGTTGGTCACGGCATGCCTCGCGCCGAGGCAGGGCTGCAGTGAGGCGTTACGGGGGTGCACATATTGCCCAACTTGCTGGGAACCAGCGGGGAGTTTGCCAGCACAGTTTAAGGAGGGCAAGGGGAGGTTTCTCATTACCGTACTCTGGCTTTCCTGCTACTGCCAACCCCACCGGGAAATTTTCAGATTAACTGGTTTACAGTAAACATGTGTAGCGTATGCACACTCTTGCATGTTCTTGCTCTCTCCCCACCCCACCCCATCTGTCTGTGTTTGTCTGTCTCACGCTCTCACACACACATCTATAGCTCATATAGAAGACATAAGTATGCATTACCTACAGGGCTCAACCCTGTAGCTCATGCTCCAAGAGACAGCTCAAATCATCAAATGATGACTAAACTGATTTGAACCAAGCAGATGTGCTCTATATCCTGTAGCATCCAGAGTTTAGCTACTCGGTAAGGAGAGCAAATTATGGTTTCCAATGTTTAGCTTCTGGATTATTAAGCACAGATTAAACAAAGCAGAGACAGCAGCAGAAAAGTTAAAAAAAGAAGAAATATCGAGGGCGCAAACTTACTTTCTGTGTGTATATCATATAGTCAACCACATACCTGCTCTCTGTGTGCATATCAGCAACTTCATGGTATTTCTATTTGGCATTTTGGGTTTTTTTTTAATGGAGCCATGAACCTCATATGCTTATATTCGTTTATGCGGAAAGTTTAATAGCTAGCAACATTGCCACAAAGTTCAATCACTTCTACCCTATGCATTTGCTAGTTAATGCTCACGTGCTAGAGCTGTGGTTGACTGACTGACCCCCGTCTGTAAACTGCAGGTTTCAGAGTCAGGGCCTGTCACCCCCGCCAGCGCCAAGCCATCGCGCTGACCTCGCCCGCCCACCAAAGCGGCCTGGCACGCCCGCGCTCCCTCGCCAGCCACCACTGTCAGGGCCATTCCTGTCACCGCCCGAGCAGAACGGGTCATGCTGTCTGCAGATGTTTGGTTTTGTTGAGACAGGGACACGGTGCTTTCGTGGTACGTTATGCAACACATTTATTTATACAGCACTTTTTCAGGTTTCTTTTTATTTATTTTTCCTCCTGCTAATTGTAGTATAACATATTGTGGCCAGGAGATCCTGAAGAAGTGAAGCCAAAGGCAAGGCCTCCATCGCATTAACAAAGACGTACCTTGATAAACAGGTATGCGTAGGACTGTAACAATTCAACCAAACAGTTCTGTGGCGGCATGAATGGCGACTTCCTTGTTATTAGTAAAATACCTTTGTATAAGGTAAAAGCTCATTAGCAAAACAAGTCTTTAACAATGGAGGCCAAGGTTTATGTTTCCAGGCAGATCAATAGGACCTGGCTCCAAACAGTTTACATTTTTGAAGCTGACACACACAAGCAGCTTCTTCCTTGCAAGATGAGCAAAATGCAGCTGGGAAAGTAGTCCCTGGGCAATTTTTGCCAATACATTCTTTAAGATGCATCTGCCCTTTAAGATGTTTTCCTACCAAAATATATCCAGGTGTCCAGTGAGGGCCATTGATTAATGCTCAAAGTCCTCTGGAGATCAGAAGTTCCACATAAACCTACTACTTGTCCATCTCAACTCACACGGTACACATAGCACATTAGCATAATTACTAAAGTGGAGCAACTTCTGGCTTGAACAGATAGAAGCTGTGTTTGTGGCATACTCGAAGAAAACAAATGGCAGTTTTTGTTTAATGATCAGCAGGATCAGGCACTTTCTTTCTACCTCGACACCTGTTTGGGAGACACTGTACAAAGGAATTTAGTCAGGAGAGAAACATGGGGTGGCAGCATTTCACCAGTGAAGATCTAACAGGGTGCTGCTTAAACCACAAAGCTAGGATTAAGTGACTCTTGGGGGCCATGCGCAGGTAACCCTTGCATTGCAGAATGGAGTTCATCCTTGTCACCTACTGACAAACAAAACCGACCACAAATGTGATCTCACACCCTCCCAGTTTAAACAAACCTGGGATTAATCCACAGTCATTTGCAAAAAGTAGCTTGTCACTTGAGAGGACTATCTAGTACATGAGCACCGAGAGGTCCTTGCCCTCAGCCTAGCTTGCAGTCAGTCCACCACGTGCACCCGCTACCCAGCTCTGTTGGAAGAGGCAGCTGCCTCCACCCCCGGCAGGGGCAACAGGGTGCTCCCACCCCGGCGGGACACGCAGCCATCCAGTGGCTCGTCCTGCAGGCACAGACTGCTGGGGGGGGCAGTGCTCCCAATTTTAACCTCACGCTCTATGTATTTGTTGTTGCTTTGCAGTTACTGCTATGCACTTAATTTTATTCCAAAATTACATCAAACCTAGTAAGTCATGCAATGAACCTAACATTTGGGAGCAAAAATTACAAAAGAATGCTGTATAGCACAAACTTAAGAGTTAAAAATAAAAACCAAATACTTTTTCACCAAATTTCTATTAATCACAAGGACTAACAGTGATCACACACAGTGAAAGGTAAATTGGTATCACAATTCCAAAATCTACTTCAATTATGTTGGTAAAGTAAAATCCTACAAGAGTATAAGAGGCTGAGTTGAGATGGACCATTATAGTGCAACATTAATAAAAAAAAAACCAAACAAAAGTACCTTTACAGACATGGTAGGAAAAAGCTTTTTATTCAATGATTGTTGTTTTATAGGAGAACACTTATGTTTCAAAAACTCAGGTAATTGAAACACAACAATAACAGCACACATGCAGTGAAGGTGATTTAAATATTACATATATGTTAACATCTTCTACAAAAGAGGCTGAGATACACTTATGTGATATTCAGCCTTCTCGCATCAAAGCAATCCCCAACTGTATGCAATGCTAACTCCAATAAGGAAATTGGACCCCAGAATTTCCCATTGTCTAATTAGAAGCAAGACATCTGCTGATCTTTAGTCAGAGTTGGGAAAGTTGTCTTCGCCTTTGCCCATGAAAAGTTTGAGGTTCAGCCATGGTTTGTGTACCTGAGTCATACTTTGCCTTTATCAAAAGAACCAACAGAGCAGCAATAAAAAGTAAACTGTATTTTGTTGTCTTATGCTGATTAAAAAAAGACTCTGTCCTTTATATCTTAGATAATGAAAGACATTGAGGGTTAAAAAAAATCAATTTCCAAGAAAACATCCTTTTCTTTCTTTCAATTTAAAATCTAAAATTCCTTTTGTAAAATTTGCTTTTCAGACGCATCCTCATCAGTAGCGGACTTCTCTTCCTTTCTGTTTTTAAAGGGTGACTGCTAGTGTCAAAACACAAGTTTTTTAGGCACTTCCCATGAGAATTCATTTCTTCCAAAGTGACCATAACATGCAGTCTTCTGGTAAATGGGCTTTTTTAGGTCCAAATCCCTGTGTGTATAATAAAAAGAAGATAAAATTCTTCACATTAAGATTTTTTATTATAACTACAATTAAAATCCTAATGTTGATATCCATTTCACACCCTTAGTCAAGCAAGCATATTCTGGAGATCCAAGCATACCAGTGAACATGTCCAATGAAGAACAAGAAAAGTTACAACAACACTTAAATGTGAAGTACTTTAGGGCTACAGGAAAAGTCCTTGCTATTGAGAATTATTAATTTTAATGGAAAGATGAAATAACCTTCAATTCTTTTCATAAAACAAAACATATCTTTTTCACAGCAATGTAACTTAAAATTCTTGGAATAAAAAAGCTATTTTATTTTATTTGAGTTCCGCATACTATAATGCTGAAAGTATATGCTTTATATGAAATTTGAAAAGTACGTCTGTTATCTTAAAAGACATGGCACACATCCATAAGAAGTATTAACTGTGAAGACTAACAGAATGACAGAATCAGAGTCTCTTTTCTACTGTATGGAACAATCCCATGCTAGTTCAAGAGGTTGACTCTTAGATTGTATTACTTAATGATTTTGCAAGAAATCATTTCTAGCACGTGATCACCAAGAGATTTTCCTTTTTGTGTGTTTCTGTACCTGACAATGACTCCAGGCCGAAGATCGAAGTTATTGTGCACAATGTCCAGCAGCTCTTTCTCTGTTTTTTGGGAAGTTCCATAAGTGAACAGTGAAATGGACAGTGGATGAGCAACCCCAATGGCATAAGAAACCTATAGCAAAAAAGACACCATAGTTAGCAAATAAACATGGCACCTCCATGGGCAACAGTATGCAGCAGAAGAAAGCATTCATTCGTGAACTATCTTAAGAAAACTAAGACCTCTCCTTCATTTCCCGTATTTGCACAATCTGTATTTGTAGAAAAAAAAGAGAAAACTTCGAAAATGATGAGGTCTCTGGATAACATTCCTCCCCATAATTCAATCAGCTCATGCTCATTTCCATGACAATAAGTGTCGGAGTGTTGAGGGCTCAATAAATGCCTAGAAAAACAGCCAACAGAATGCAAGCTAAAGGAAAAGTTCCAGCTTCAAGAAGCTGCTATTACAGTAGCCTTGAACCAAGCACATGAAGGTCTTGCTTTCCTCAACCCCAAGCCATCACCAAGACTGCTCCTACTACAGGGTCTCATACGATGTGTATTCCAGGTGATGCTGAAGAAGAAAAATCTTTTTGAGAAAAGCAACATTCATAGCAAACCATACCTGAACCAGAACACGACGACAGAGCCCAGCTTTCACAAGAGACTTGGCCACCCAACGGGCTGCATATGCAGCTGATCGATCCACCTTTGTATAGTCTTTGCCAGAAAAGGCACCACCTCCATGGGCTCCCCAACCACCGTAAGTATCCACAATGATCTTTCGACCAGTAACACCAGCATCACCCTGAATCAGCAAAAGAATTTGTCCGTTTTACAATCCATTTTATTGTAAGTCTCAGACAAGGCTATGCATCCTTCAGAAGACCACAACAATGTGTAAGTTCACCACATACGGATTGCTGTGGGGTAGCTGAAGGAACGAACTTGTCTCACCAAGCTACAACAGTGGATATAAATGTTCTCTAAAGCCAGA